ATAATGGAGGCTCCTTGAATTCTCTCCGGGATAAAAGCAAAGCCCCAATTTATGTAATCCCCTGCTGAGAGCTGCAACTGCTGAGCTTTGTTGGAAGGCAAGAACAGGAGTGACTGCAGAGCTGTCAGGAGTGTGGGTGAAACACTGAGCGTGGCTGTGGCTGCAGAGCAAGGAGGCAAATCCTGTGTGCTCTGACATTCCCCACTCTGGGAACTGGAGCTTAGCTACAGCTCTTGGTTCAGCATCTTCTCTCAGCTAGCTGGGAAGTCAGCACATGGCATTTGGAGAATCCAGTTCAAACCTTAGGAAGTCCATTAAGCTCAGCTCCAAAATTCCGTGAATGAGTCTGGCCCAAACTCTAAAAGCTGTAAAAGCAATTAAAGCCTCTGACACCTGAATGTGCATCATGCCTGCACCTTGGATTTTGAGTTCTTTTAATGCTGTCCTCTGGAAAAGTTACAATTCTGCTTCATATTGGAGGGGTTTTAAAATTGTTTTACCTTAACTTCACACTCCTTTGTGTTTTGGTGTCAGGGAGCAGCAGGTTCTTCACAATGAATGTCAGGTAAAATGCATGTGTTACAACATTTTACAGCAACAACTGGAATTAGATCAGGGGAAGTGCCTTAGTGACTTTCTGCAGATTAAACTGTTGTTTCTGGCCATATTGCACCAAAAGGAACAGGGAGGTGGCTGGGTGACACCAGAAGGCACTTGGAGGATGGATCCTGGGGCACCAGGAGAGGGGCAGGGTCACCCTTGGAGCACACAGAAAGATACTCCTGGAGGGGGTTGGAAGTAGATGATCTGTGAGAATCCTTTCCAATCCAATAAACTGGTTTTTATTCTCCAGAGACATAAGAAAATGTCTTATGGAAGATGTGGAAGAAGAGACAACACATTTCTCTGCTTGCCTGCACATCCCCAGCTCAGGCAAGGCTCTGGGGCAGGCAGGACACTGCAGGGGATGCAGTGAGCAGTGGCATCCCTGGGCACTGGGACAGCCCAACAGGAAAGGTTTCATAAAAAAACAGCTCTGGGCTGAATGTAACATCAGCTGATCATTCAGAGGCGCTGAGAGGTGCTACCCTGCATGGGGATGCTGCCCAGTGCCTCTGAGCCAAGCAGAAATCACATTCTCATCAATTGTTCAGGGCTCTCCAAAGGAAAAGCAGGAAAGAAGAACAGCAGCAGCCAAACCTCAGCCACAGAGATCAGCTCCCTCAGCACTGCCTGTGGATAACATTATTCCATAATTATTGCCACAGGATGAAGTGGGGCTGCTCTCACATTCTGAGTTAATCACATTCAAATACCTGCACAGACCAACATAAAAATTTACCTCTCACTGGTTCCAGTGCCAAAACATTTCCTCATCAGAGAGGGACTGTCCTGCCCACCTAGGGAACCACTGCCCCCATCCATGCCACTGGGATGGCACACAGGGGTCACCACCTGCAGGGTGGGAAGCAGAGCACGTGCAGAAGGAATTAAGGGTTGGGGCTTTCCTTATTTTTCCTTTTAAAATAGCTTTATTTATTCATAAGGGAAACAAAGGAGCATCAAAAGAGATGGTTTTAAGTTTCATATAAACAAGTTCCTTGTTAAAGCAGAGAGAAAACACACTCTTGTGCAATCCAGCAAAGTATTTAATACAAATTCCACATCTTACCCCTCCTTATGAAACTGGCATAGCTGGCAGGAGCAGGGTAAATTAGGTCAAGCTGTACCCAGATGAGGGATTAGAGGAGGAGTTTGGGAACAGCTGAAGACACCGACAGTGCTGGAATGGAAATGTTGTTGGGTTATTCTGAACAGCAGGAAAAGAAACACCACCAAACTCCCAGCAGCAAGGCAGGGCAGTGTCCCCCAGCAGCAGGGCCAGGTTAAACACAGTGACAACCCCTGCAGGCTGGCACAGCTCTGGCACAGCTCCAGGGCAGCTTTTCTTGGCTGGCAAACACTGCCAGAGGGAAAGTGAAGCAAAGCTTCCCTGGTTAGTGCAGTGAGTGAGCTGTGCAGGGGCACTGAGGCCAAGGGGCATCAAACAAAGCCATTTCTCATGCCTGGAAACTCCTGGTGAGGGATGAGCAGCAGCACGAGGTGTTAACCAATGCCAACAGCTGCAGAGCTGAAGCAGAACCAACCTACTCTGAGGCAGAATCCAGAATCCAGCCAGAATCCCACTGCAGCATCTCTGCAATGGGAAGGAGCAGGAATAACACCATAAATAGCAAAGATAATTCAAAATCAAGAAGACACAAGACAAGTACTGTTCTTAGGAAATCTGTAGATTGCTTTCACAATCAACAGTTTGATCCTTCCAGTTTTCTTTAAATGGCAGCATGGTATTTGTCATTGAGCTGGGACTAATCATTAATCCCAGAATAATCATCACTCACTGGCATTAAAACAAACACACCATCAGACCAAAAACACTGAAACACAAAAAATAAATTTACATATCCATCCAAAGCAATGGATGGGACTAATAAATAAATACTTGTGGAATTTGGGGAACTCACAGATATTCAGAGCAAACAGAAGACCTCAAATAAATCCCAGCTACTCAGTGGAAACTGATAAAGGTGAGTAATTTTAAACACTGAGACCTCTTAAAATCCCATCCTGTTTGGTGTGAGGTAATATGGGAGAATGACAGGTTTTCTCAAATCTGAGAGCAACAGCTTAATAGTGTGAGCTAATTACAAAATGTCATTTTCCTTAGTCCTGGAATTACAGTGAGTCAGCCTCTGGCAACATCCCCTTTGGTTCCACTGTTTTATTATGGCCCCCCCATCTCCAGAGCCTCACACTATAGCAAATAATAAAATCCCAAGACCAGAGAAGGAAAATCACCAAGATTTCAGTGCATCATTTTTGCAAAGGGCAGTGAAGTTTTTTTGCAGTGAAGTAAACAGCTCAACATACTTTTGTGAACACATTAATCTTTTATTTCAGCTGGCAAATCTGGCTCATGTCAGATTTCTTTCAAGCCATCAAACCAAACCTGCTTTTTTCTTAAAAAGAAGACTACAGCATTTCTTAAGACTTACTGCTGGTAAAGAATTCCAGTAAATGCTGCCCAGAAAATCCATTTGGCTGCCTCAGCTATCCAAGAAGATTTTTAATGGGGAAAAAAAAAGAACATGTTATAAAAGTACTAATTTTTTCATGCAATATTCCATCTGGTTGACAAACCTGTCTGCAGAGAGAAGGCTCTCTCAGCAGTGGATTTTCTGACTGAGGCACAGGAGTTCACAATCCTTAGGTTCAGATTCTCTTCCCAGCTTCACATCAAAGCCATCATGAATAATTTTGGTAGCCATTTCTGCATGGCTCCCCCTACAAAAAAATGAGAATATGCAACCATTTAGACTGAAGCATGCACAAAAGCACAAACACTGATTTAATCACCTTTTCTGCTTCTCCCTGTGAAGGTCAGACACATCATCCTTCAGGAAGACAAACATTTCTTTGCCCTTGTTATGCTTTTCATTCACTGATAATTACTACTGAAAATCTGTTTAACCTCTGTCAAAACAATGATTTGTTATTATTGTTCTGACAACTCTGCTTCTCTTGCCTGATCTGTTCAGGCTGATTAAACAGGAGAATCTTTCCCAGCCACCAGCAACCTGATGGAGGAGCCAAAACCAAGCAGGGATTTAACTGGGTGTTCTGAACTTTCACATCAGAAAATAAAAACTCACCAGTACAAATGTAGCTGATACACTTGATGGAAAGTGAATAAAACAAGTCAGGAAATGAATCTTACCTTATGCCCTTGCATGGACACATTCTGAGGTTTTCCATCTTTCAGATTTTTTTTGCTCATACAAAAATAAGTTATCTGCCAGCAACCTGGCAGTTCTTTGTATCAACTGCAGAAAATGAAGGAAGAGTCTGATTCTCTTACAACCTTGTTCTTTTTAACAGTATTGGATCCCATATCTTAATTGGTTTTTTTTTTACCTCCTAAGGAAGCTTGAAATAGAAAATATTAATTTGAGGAAAACCTGTAGGATATCAGAAGGCAAGAGAACAGCACAAAGATTGCCAAGAAGGTGCTTTATTTCTGCTTGGTCTCAGAAACACAATTCCTAATCTCTTGATTTAAAAATCCCAATTCTGTATAATCATAATTACTGTGTCTTCAACAGGATAAACTTCCAGCCAGTGAAAGACACTTTGGAATTTATATCAACAAGGCTTCAATAAGGGGATTCTTGTAGAGTTAGAAATCATAGATTTTATTAGGGTTTCTTCTTGATTTCACCTTTAACCCAGGACAGTCCAATGAATCCAGCTACTTTTCTTTTCCCTGTGAAATTTTTAAACATCACAGGAAACTACTGCAAACTTCTACTGAATAATCTGATGTGCTCCTTCCCAGAAAGATACAAACCAGGGAATCAGTGACATGCTGGAGGCTGTGCCTTGGCACAAAGTGCATCTTTCCCTGCAGGTTCAGTGCTCTGCCCCAGTAACACCAGTTGTTTTTGGGGTGAGCACAGAGAGGGAAGAAGGTGGGAAGTTCTGCCTGTCAGGGGGCTGGAATGGGTTTCCATGTTCCATGGGAGCATACCTGGAGCCTTCCAAGCAGGGCTTTCAACATTCCTAAGAGACAGGAGCAGCAGCCAGCTGAGAACACACGTGGGGAACATCCAGGCCAGGGCAGCAGCTCCTCCATCCTCTGTGCCTGTTTAAGGTCTCACAGTGTGCACACAGGTTAGATACCAGAGATCTGCACAAGATGTCATTAATCCTGTTATTTGCCTGGATTTTAGATTGCTTCTGTAAATATTAAACATTTGACCCGTGTTACTTCCTTTTAAATGAGTATTGCTTTTTATTTGTAGCTATTAGAAGATTAACAAGTAAAAGTTAGCTCTGAAAAAAGTCTTTACAGTAATTTATGGAGATTAACTTTCCTATTTTAGGGTAAAGTCCAGACATTTACAAGAACAATCACTTAAATAAAAATAGAATATAAAGCCTATGTTTAAAACATGGCCTTTATTAGCGCTGTCTAGTGAGCTCCATATTTATCTTACATTGAAATAGTTCTGCTTTGCTTAAGAAAAGACAGAAAAAGTGCATTTACAAGAGTACTTTTTCTTTAATTTTCTGCGAAAATGGAAGGAATTGGAATCACAAGTTGACAAATGCTGTAAAATGAAATCTCAAGAAACATCAATTTTAGTAATGCTACGCCATCACTAGTGTTTCCTCCTGACCTTCTGCTGTGTGGAACCAGAATATCCTGATATACAGTCTAGAGCATCTATGTTATTACTCTACAGCATATTAAACACAGAAAAAGGGGCTCAGGCCCCCTTTCAATGTACAAACATGAATAAAAAAATTGTTTAAAAAAATCACTTTTTATACATAATGTATATGCAAACTGCTTTAAATACATGGGTTTGGAAGAGTTATTTACAAGCTGCATCAGCCCGTGGGACAATCCACAGGCAGAGCACACACAGTTGCTTTTACTTTATTGGTGCATCTCAACTTTGGGAGATATAAATTTATTATTCGGCAGTACAGCAAACACAAGAACTTGTGACAAAGCATCTTAAGGGCAACCCAATAAATTTTGTTCCTCCAAACAAGGTTAAGTACTAGGACTGCCAAAGTTTCCAAATGGAGTTTTATTTTAACCCAGATGCCTGCTGGCAGATCTGTGTGGTGGAGGATTTGTAGACAGACCCATTGCAAGTACAGGTTTGGCTACTGGATAACTCCTCCTGAAGAGCCAGAACTGAGAAGGATGTTTTGTCCAAAGAGTGAACTAACCTAGAATTTTTTTTTCCAATTTTATTAATATTTTAAAAAATACATAAAAATACAACATCCAATGTCTGAATAAATATATTTAACAAGTTGCAAGATACCTTATTTTACACAAAAATTTCAGCTTTAGAAATCTTGTTAAATAACTTCATTGTTGTTATATATTTCATTTTTCGTCTTTTTGTAACAAAATAAAAACTCTGAAATTACATAGAAAAAAGACAAAATATTTTTGTCAAGGGATAAGATAGTCCACTGAAAACCTATTCACAATTCCACTGTAAACATTAATAAACATTAAAACATTTGCATAATTGTGTGCTCAAAAATCCTATAAAAAGTGGAAGACTTATTACAACTGTAGTTTTCAGTCAACTACACTTCCTTTCACAATTTATTTTGTCCCATTTACAGCTTTAAAACTGGGCACATTGCTGAACACATACTTTGGCAGTTCTGTATAGCAAGTGCTTCCACAAAGAGGAACTACTCACCAAGAGTTACCCACAGCTTGGTGAAAGTGCAGCAGTTGCTCAGTTCTTTTGGATAATACTCTGATGTCTGCTTGGTGCACTTGCTTTTTTTTTTTTAAAGATCACCCTAGAACACCTGAATGCTTCATTGGACATTAACTTTGCAAATTTGATAAGTGCCCTTCCTCTGTGTTAGGAAAAAAAAACCAACAAAACAAAACAAAAAGAAACAAACAAGAAACAAAAACAAACACAATTACAAGGATGCCACGTTGTGCCTACAAACCTTCAGTTACCAATGAGCTTAAGTTCTCTGAACAGTAAATTAAACAAAAGAAGAGGGTAGGAGGGGGGAACAGGTACAGTCCAGCAGTGGAAGTGTGTACAGGATATACTTGGCAATGTCCAACCAGTTGAGTGCTTTCTGTGGCAGAATTTCAGGGTTTATGTCCATGGCAGAGAGCTGCTGGCAAGGCAGAGAAATGTTTATCACCTGCACTCCACAGCCAGCACGTTCTGGGGAGGAGAGGATGATGAGGGGCTCATTCCAGTGTCTGAGGAAGCAGATGACATGGATGCTCCTGTATGGGACACTGAACACACAGAACAACAGATCAGCATCAGGTTATCAAAGTGCAGCTCACAAGGAAGGCTTCCTTGCCTTTAGCTTGTGTAAAAAACATCAAAGAGCAGCACAGGCACAAAACACTGATAAAGAGGTTTTGCCAATTGCTTTCCCTGCTGTATTCACACGGGATTAGCCTTACCCAGTTATTGAAAAGGTAACTCAGGTGACTCTAATGGAAATACTTGCACTAGGAAGTCCAAGTTTCTACCACACAGTTACAAAAGAGTCAGAAAATATTTCTGTCAGGTTCATGTTCCAAAACACCACAAATATTCCTTCTAAATACATACACAAACAGATGGTAACACTTTCCTTTCTTCTAAAATACCATCAATTCAACTCCAATTGCTTTGAGTTACACATTTCCAAACAAATTAACTCCTCATGGGAATCATAAAGCAAATCCCAACCTCACCTTCCCTGTCTTTCTTTTTCAATCGTTTCCTTCTCCTGTCTATGGTTGCTACCTCTGACTTCAAGGACATGTAGTATTTTCGGATCTCCTGGAGCTTTTCTTGGAGGAAGGAGATCCTTTCAGTGCTGCTCATATTGTCCAGTTCATCTGCAAGTGCAAAGAAATGAAAAAATAACTTTGTCAAGGTGGTTATAAACAAATGAATGCAGTTCTTAAGAGGATGTAAGACACAGCATGGAAGATAACACATTTCCATAACTATGCCAGAAAAGGCCCACAATTAATTTAGTATCCCAAAATTTCCATGTTTTTCCTTTCAGAACAAATTTTCTCACAAATTGCCTGTAATCAAGTCATTTCTAGAATCCTTACTGAGCTGGAAGCTCCATTTGTAGACTCTGGGTGAAGCATTCTGGTGGTGGTGCTTGTCCCTGTGCTTGTCCTTCTCTCCATCCTTGATGTGAGGAGAAATCACCCTGGCAGGGGAGCGGGAAATCTTCTGGGGTTTGGATGCATTGATGTGTTTGACAGGAGTACATTTACTGGAACTGTCCAGGACAGGGAGATCCTCACTGTCACTGCTTTGTCCTGCAGGAAAAAGAATTCATTTGGACTTAAAACCTCCACATTGACATTTTAAAAATCGTGGTTATAGTAAAGAAAACAATGATGAAAAAAACCCTGCTGCATTTTGCTTAGAAGATCACAGAACACACCCAAGGAATAATGATCTCAGATTCCAAGGATAACCTGATCAGACACAATATGCACTGAACTCTCAAGTGTAATAATCATAATTGATGCAGGGCTAACTAGGCCTAGTTAAAAAGTAATAGTCAAACTTCTGTACAGAAATAATAAATAAACTTACCAAAATTAGAATATCAGAGCGCTAATAAACTGTCTTACATCACCTATTCTAGCTTTCTAATATAAAGCAGACTAAAATCTCTTTCTTAAAGATTAAACCTAGATTACTATGGGTAGGTAGCACTATGAGTGGATTACTATAGGTAGTATTTAGTTATCAAACTGCTTTACACATCTAAAGGAACAATTCTGAAACATGACTAAACAACAGAAGTTCAACATGTAACAGAAAATTTTTAGCTCATATATTCAAACATTTTAGATTCCCACAATAACTGCCAAGTTCTCCACAGGCATGTTAAATATATCTGAATAGTGTATGTCAGATAATTATATTACCCAGTATTTTAGTTTGACATTTAAAAATAAAACAGTGTTGCCACAAAGCCAAAACCACGGATTCAGTCATGCAGTGATTGTCAAAAATTTTGTGACAGGACAAGAGGGAATGTCCTTAAGCTGAGGGAGGGCAGGGATAGATGGGATATTAGACAGAAATTCTTTATTATAAAGATGGTGAGGCCCTGGCACAGGGTGCCCAGAGAAGCTGTGGCTGCCCCATCCCCGGGAGTGTTCCAGGCCAGCCTGGATGGGGCTTGGAGCAATGTGGGATTGTGGAAGGTGTCCCTGAACATGGCAGGGGATTGGAACAAGATGACTTTTAAGGTCCTTTCCAACCCAAACCATTCTGTGATTCTCTGAAAAATGACCTACAGAAACACAAAAATTCAGATTTCCATATCAAGTTATAAAATAGTCAGATACTTGAGAGAAAAGCTACACAAGATCCCTTTGGATGAAAAGCTTTTCCTTAGCATCCAACATTTTTCTGTATTTCAAAAGCATTTATTTTTTCCCCCAAGAGAAACACCTGTTTTAAGACTTTAAATGTGCCCTCTGCCAAATTCATAACCAATCCAATATTTAAAAATCAGCATAATGATAAATATCTACTTGCTGGTAATATAAATAATAATTTAGACACTTTTCCTAAGTAATATAAAACAGACAAAAGATTTCCCAGTTACACTGGGAGAGAGCTCAGAACTCCTCTCCAGTTTATCACCAATAACCACGATGAATAAAAACTGAAAACCTTGAGAGGGAAGCCCCATGCACTGGAAACTGTTTGTAACATGAGAACAGTATGTTCTTACACATATTTACAGGCCAGGACAACCTTCCCCCTCCCCTCCCTGCAGGAATATACCTGTTCCATTCTTTTCATTTTTGGCTGCAGCACTGGTTCGCTTTGGAGTTCGCTTTTGCTTTTTTGCCAGCGTTCCACTATTGCTGTCACTGGGTCTTTTTTGACCTATGAGAGGAGGGAAAAAAAATCAAAAATAAAATATAAGACACCTCAAATACTTATGCTACTAAAAGGCTCTTTTTATAAGCAACAAAGAAATTTAAAGCCAGACAGCCTGGAGAAGAGGAAGCTCTGGGGAGAACTTAGAGCCCCTTCTGGGGTCAAAGGGGCTCCAGGAGAGCTGGAGGGGGACTGGGCACAATGGCCTGGAGAGCCAGGACAAGGTGGAATGGCTTCCCACTGCCAGAGGGCAGGGTAGGATGGGATATTGGGATAGAATTCTTCCCTGTGAAGGTGCTGAGGCCCTGGCACAGGGTGCCCAGCCCCACCCCTAGAAGTGCTCAAGGACAGGCTGGATGGAGCTTGGAGCAACCTGGGATAGTGGAAGGTGTCCCTACCCATGGAAGGGGACTGGAGCAAGATTGGCTTTGAGGTCCCTTCTAACCCAAATCATTCAGTGAATCTATAACCAGCAGACAAAACAGAGCAGGAATTTTTAGCCCAGTAACACCAGCCTCAAACCACCCTCAGGAGGATCAGAGCTGGTCAACATCAGCTTACAGTATTAATTCTACACTTTAAAAATCCTGCCTTACTCAACACACTTGCTACATTTCTTATTTTTACCTAAAATTTCTATGAAACTGCAGTAGTGGTGGTGCTGTCAGGGTTCAGTAAGCATCTGGATGATGCTCTTAACTCAGGTGATTTAGCTGAAGTCTATGATTCTCCTACTATTTCCCAAATAAGCCAATACAAATGAATTACATTTTATTGCAGCAAAAATAGTTTTATAGATTCCTCTAATCCCATATGACACTACAAAACCCAAAACCAACCCTTCTCCCCTCCATGCAGAGAACACAGAGCAGCTCACCTTTCTCTCCCGTCTCCCTCTCCTGCCCCGCTGTGCTGCAATTGCTCGACGTGGTGCTGGCCTCGAATCCATTGGCAGACTCACTCTCACAGAGCCCTTCCTGAGACTCTTCTGCCACACTGTCCACCTCAATGGTCATGTCACTCTCGCTCTTGATGCTGCGGGACTCGTCCTGGCTGAGGGCCACAGGAGAGGCCACCGGGAAGCTCGAGGGGACGCCGGGGGCTAAGGCAGACGGGGCAGAGTTGGAAGAACTGGGGTCTGGCTTTTCTGCCGTTGTGTCTTCAGTGCTGCTCTTCTCCTTCTCATCCAAGTCATCCAGGTCCACTTCATGGCACAGCAAGGTCTCAGGACCAATCTGAGGCATTGTGTCATCCTCATCTTTCAAGGGCAGGCTCTCGCTGGCTTCGGCCGGCCGTTGGAAGCTGTCGTTCCTCAGCTCCGCACCGTGCGGAGCCGATTCCGCCACCAGGGACGGCATCTCCTCGTTTTCGGTTCTGAGGGACTCCTCAGCATTCAGCCCTCTACATTCCTCTGCTCCACTACATTCATTGGTCCTCTCTTCAGATACAATATTTGGCACTTCCATCTCACTCTCTCGCCGGTTTCTCTTCTCAGGTGACGCCTGTTCCAAAGTTTTCCTTTTCAAAAGTTTCTTATCTTTTGTGGAGGGCTCTGTTTCGCTTTCAGTAGTGCTGGAAATGTCTTTACAATCCAAGGAAGACACATCTAACCTTTCAGGTTCTGTAAGAGATTCATTTGCCACCTCTTCCTGGCTTCCTGGTGCAATCTTTGCATTCTCCAATGAGGGATCTTTTGTCTTGCTCCTTCTCCCTTTTCCCTTAGGTGATTTTTCAACCTCTCTTTTGATTTCTTCCATTTGATCCGTTTTATTTCCAAAAATTTGAACAATTTGTTCACTTTCCTCAACTTCCAGTTTCAGTGTTTCTAGCTGCTGTACTTGAGTCCTGTCATTTTCCTTCAGCACATGAGAAATCTTTGGGTTTTCCTCATCCAGCTTCTCATCACGGAGTTTTTCACTTTTTTCCAGTTCTGAAGTTTCTGGAGAAAATTCTTCATTCAAATTCTTTTCAGATGACTCATCTGCTTCACTGTCAGATGTGCCAGAGTCTAAAAAAAATTTAAAAAGAAGCAAACAGCACCCTAAATAATTAATTGCAGCATGACTTTTTATTTGAACCTCACAAAAATCCCTGTTTTCAGTAATCTATGAGGTCAACATCAGCTTACAGTAATAATTTTACACTTTAAAAATCCTGCCTTACTCAACATACTTGCAACACTTATTTTTACCTAAAATTTCTATGAAACTGCAATAGTGGTGATGTTATCAGGGTTCAGTAAGCATCTGGATGATGCTCTTAACTCAGGTGATTAAGTTGAAGTCTATGATTCTCCTACTATTTCCCAAATAAGCCAATGCAAATGAATTACATTTTATTGCAGCAAAAATAGTTTTATGGATTCCTCTGGTCCCATGGATATTGCCTCTCCCATGTGACACTACAAAACCAAAAACCAACCCTTCTTCCCTCCATGCAGAGAAAAAAACCCAACCCAAACCCAAAAATAAAAACCTTCTAAACCCCAGTATGGACATTCCATTGCTGAACTATTGTACAAATGCTGCACCACACAGAGAGCAAGCATTAGTACATTACCAGGAGATTACTCAGGGACCTGTACTAAAAGGAGACAGTGATTTCACATGAGTTCTTGTTCAGAGAGGCTTAGAAACACCAAAGATGTGCTGCCATTTGTGTATAATTAACAGCTCTGCTGGATGATGGAGTACTGAGGTTGAGGACTTAATTAGCACAATAAAGACTATCATTATAATGCACTGGATTTGGTCTGCTCAGGACTGAAAGGCTCTGGCTGAAGAACATGGGATGACTTGTACAGTCACTGACTGCTCTTGTGTGAGCAAGCTGAGCTCCTCAGCAGTGTCAGCTCAACTGCTTACTCAACAAAATTTACAGAGAGAAAGGAAAAAAAAAATAACCAACCAAAAAAGAAGGTAAAAAAAAAACCAAAAAACCCCAAACTTCTTTTCAAAAAGATACTGAAAAAGCCTCCAAAGCATACACAGGGCTGAAATCACTCACCGTTTGATCCTCTATCAGAATCAAACATTCCTGAGCTACGTCTGGTCTGCCTGCGAGGTGTTGCTAAAATTAAAATCGAAAGAATTAATTTGTATCGATCGGCAGGAGCGCCCAGCCCCGGTGGTGCCGGCCCGAGGGGCGGAGCGGGAGCTCCGGGCTCCGGCCGAGGGCGCCGAGCTCGGCCCGGGCTCCCTGCACGTCCGGGGCCGCATTTACCTTCGCTGTTGGGCGTTTTGGGGAGGCTGCAGGACGTGTTGGAAGGGAGAGTGGATTTCAGAGGGGGCCGCCCACGCTTGGATTTTTGCTTCTCCTCGTCCTTCTTCTCATCCTTTTCACCATCTTCTTTATTCTGCAGGGGAAACAGTGGATTTTTATTAATGTTTCACTGCTGATTATCAAACCTTTTGTTCTATTAAAAACAAGCCTGTGGCCTGAATAACTTTTATTTTTAATATAGTACTACAACAAACTTATTGAAATCATTACTTTTGTTTTTTTCTTCTGTTTTTTCTTTGGTCCTCCTTTTTCCACTGGCCAGATAATCCGATCAGCTTTCACCCATTCATCATACCTGAAAGGGAATGAAACCATGCTCTTACCACTGCACATTAACATTGAATATGAGGAGTAAAAGACTGGAATTAACACAGTATTTATTAATGAGGTAGGAAAAGGCCAACAGCAGGCTGGATGGGGCTCAGAGCACCCTGGGGTAGTGGAAAGTGTCCCTGCTTATGGCAGGAGGGTGGAATGGGATGGGATTTCCTTTCCAATCCAATCCATTCCATGATAGCAGAGCCTGTATTTGCAACTCATGCAGTATTCTGGCCTCAGAAAGGTGAATGACATTTCCAGTCCATAAAAAAACCTTATGGGATGAGAAAATTAGGTACAAAGTTCCCTGTCTCTCACTGGAGCACTCAGGGGACTGAGTCAGCTCTAAAGTGTCAATTATTCCACATCATACACATAAGAGAGTTTTCACCACACCACACCTCAGCAGAAAATGTACCACCTTTTTTTTTAATTATGGCAACAAACTGGATGAGATTCTGAAAAGCACAAACACAGTGATGCTCCTCAAAATCTCCTAAAGGTATTAAGGTAAAGGGAACCTGGAAATATTTTTCATGTTGCCACATAAAGCAATTTGCTTATGGATTTGGAATACCACATGTTATATACCAGAAGTATATAAAAAATATAAAGTACTATAAAGACTGGCTGCCAGGAGAAGCATTTTTACAATCCCAGTTAACATTCAATACAAGAATATATTTTATTGCCAGAATTCCAGTGCTTAATACACTTAATTGTAAATATCTTCATCATTATCAATGACTCCCTTAAAGAAAAGTTTGCTATTGCTAACACTGATAGACACAATAAATATCAGGAAGGGGTGAGGATTCCTAAGGCAGATGGATACTTGGAAAAATACAAGTATCCAAGACATTTCAATGCAACACCATGAACAAAATCACCAACACTGAAAAGTGAAGAAGTCAGAGCCTGTGATGTTGCTAATACAATATGGAGCCACATCACTGACCATCTCTCACTTTATTTCCTTAAAAACAAAAATTTCTTTTGCAAATAAGCCTTTGAACAAAGAAAGGAAAGGCAATTTCTTATCCTCACCTTACATTCCAACCGTAGTAATGAACTAAATATAAAACCTCTCCATCATCCATTTCTGTGCTTTTAATACTGGCTTCATAAATTTTTTGAGTCTTTCCACGTCCATATTTTACTTTCACTTTGGTTCCAGTCAGGCAGGGTTCTGTGTCCTCCTCATCCTCTTCACCTTCTGATTCTCCTTTGTTCTCAATTTCTTCCCTGCAGTAAAATGTATTTAAAATGCCCACCAATTAGTAACAATCATATTTTAAAATTTAGAGAGCAGTCAAGGTAGAAAAAGACTGCAAGAAGAAATTCATTTTCTGTACCCTGTCTTGTCTCTGAAGCTTGCTCAGAAACAGGTTTTTTAAATCAAGAACAGAGCTTAGGGAGAATAGGGCTAAGTGCCAAAAACATCCAGAAAGTTTTGTTAAAATTTAAACACAATTTATAAAGTGTACAACTACCTCAAAGCTTAAAGATTATTTTTTAAATTGATATTTTGATAACACAAAGAGGAATAAAATTTAACTCAGTGTGTGTCTTCTAAATAGCATAGGAAGAAAGAAATAACTTCAGTTTCTGAAATATTTGATTTTGACACATTATTTACTAAAAAAGGTACTTTTACAATTGCCTTAACATGCTACAGTTTATTAACTGCACATGAGGAGTTTGAATTGCTATCACAGTGATCCTCTCACAATACAAACACCATTCCACTGGAAAAAAACTCGATCACAAAAGTGTTCAGCCAAGCTTAGAAGTGTCTGCACAGCTCTTTATTAGAGACATCCACCTCTCATTACACCTTTGGCTACTGCTTCAATATTATACTCAAACATATTTTGAAGAGCTACCATCAAACCTATTTTTAGCTATAATTCCTTCCCTACTTAAGGGACAATTTAGCATAATTTAGAAGCTACTCTACAAAAAAGTCAGCAAGAGATAAAATACTAAAAAGGACTATGGGTTTGCTTTTAATGAAATAGATCTGTTGGCCTTTAGTGAAAAATCCATTCTCTTGTGGCAAGCAACTCAGAGGACAAGTAACACCCACCCAGCTTAAAGAAAACTTTGCTGCCTTGATCATCTGACAGTAAAAAGCAGGAGCCTGCAGCTTCACCAGCCATCAGCAAACCCTTAAAAGCACAGGAGAAGAGGGATTTGCCATTTCTGTTTCCTCTGCCCAGAGAAGTGTCCCCAAGCTGTTCCACCCTCTCACAGCCTGGTCAGCTTGCTGTCTGGAGGTACTGGTGTGATAAAACACCAACACAGCCTTGGCAAATTAAGTGACAGTGAAAAATACAGCCTGGCACTGAGCACAAAAAGATGCTTCCAGAAAGTACAGCAGGCTCTCCAAGCTTGAAATAAAATGTTCCCTTTCCCTGCCTGTCTGAGTGAATAAGGGTTCTGATTTTCACACTTCAGTAAGATCAAGTCTGTGTCCTCCTGCCTGGAGAACAGCTCAATCATGGCACAGAGAAACTCAAAGCAGGTGATACAAGTTAGTGCTTACCTCTCCCTCTGCCTCTCTTCCTCTTCATCTGACTCTTTATCAGAATCCTCCTGCTTTTTAATTTTCTTCTCTTTTTGCTTTGGTGTGCTTTTCTTCCCTAGAGGAGTTTCATTTTCTTTCTTTTCTGCATTCTCAGGTGTTTCCTCTACATCTTTGTTTTCTTTGTTACTGTCTTTTAATTTGTCTTGGGTTTTATCCTCTTCACCATCTTTTTTAGCAGGGGCTGCATCACGGGCAAGTCTTCTTCGTCCCTGGAACAGAAATAAAATCAGTTTAATGACTCCTGTGCCCTGCTTTCTTCATAACCTCTCCAAATCCCAGCAAAAAAGTGAGACATGCAACTCCTGTAAAGAAGAAAGGCTGGAGATGACAAAAAAAGTGTAAAATATTCTAAAAGAATAAAATTAAGTTTTTCTACCTGATTCATTTGGAATATGAGGATGAGTTTCTGATTAACTGATGGAGGATTTCAGGACATTTGTTTGGACCTGTAATGTTTGTTACTCTGACAGAAAGGGCCAAAATGTCTTGTTCACCTACAGCAATATCATCATTTGAGTGCTTGTATAGGAATATTGAGGGGAGGCATCTTCAAGGGGAAGAAGGGAAGAAATTTGTCAGCTTTCAAAAAACCCTAAATATCCCATTTTTAAAAGGCACCTTGAGTACTCTCAAGGCAGTTGCTGCTTGGGACTATCTGCAACTGATTCTTAGAGATCTAGCACAGGATTATCATTTGATTTATTAGAAGTCTCTTGATAGGATCATTGCTTTTTAGTCAGAACAAAGAGCCAATTATTAAAAAGACAAAACATTCTTACATTTCTTTATCCTTCTTTTGAGCATTGCCAAAAAGAAAAACAAACTCAAAAATAAATGAACAAACCAAGAACAAAGCTAATGTCATGTCAGGAAGTTCACTGAGCAGCTTGGAACAACCACTTTCATTTAAACAGAAATATAATACATAATAGAAGTCTCAACCTGTGTTTACACCATGTCCTTTCATCTATTAATCTATAAGGCCATATATTTGCTTGAAAAGCTGCTTTGCAAGAAGGACTTCAACAGAATAACATTTTAGTCAAACAGAATCTTTAGAATTGGAACAATTTAAAAGCAGAAATTGTTGTCCTTCAGTAGTCATACTCTATTGAAGAACAAAAAATGTTCTTTTAACATAATTAAATGAGTGCTGTAGTTGTATTCCAACACCTTTATCAAGTACAGTCTGTATTCCTCATGGTGTTCAGTATCCTCCAGCTGCTGGGACACTGATCTGATCTGTGTAGCTTCTAATACAACCCTCACTTCTACAGCATTTAAAGACAAATGAAGCCTAAACTTAATTGTTCCTCCCTCAACTTTTGTCTATGTACTCTAATATTTGAGCGTTTCTTGTATTAGAAGAGAAACTGTGGCAAAAACCAGCTCAGAGAAATGGGTCTCCCTTTGATTCTAAGATCCACAGCAGGTTTTTGATATTCCTGTTTCTTGCCAGAAGGCTCCAGGGTCCATGTGCCTGTGGAAACCCTCACCCAGAACCAAGAGTGTCCTGCTGTGTTTCCCTGTTCTGATGAGAACAGCTCCAAGCCACCCCTGAAGCACAGCACATCCCACTGAGCCTGAGCAAAGCCCAGGCATGGTGTGGAATATGAAGGAATAATCAAACTCTGTGTGCAGGTAGAACAGAACTGACAATAAACACTCACAGAACTCCACCCTTGTACCAGTGCAACAATTGCAATGTGCACAGGGAAAACTCACTATGGAAACTCTTCACTATACAAAGGGGCTTTGTTAGGGACTAAACACAAATCAGTTCAGACCACTCACCCTTGGGGATCTTAGTTCAATTTCTTCTTTCTCACTTTCACTGCTGGAATAATTTTCTTCTGCTTCTTTTTTAACTTCTGTTGGGGGCATTTTTTGTTCCTCTTTCACACTTTCCTCCATTGGTTCCACGTGTTTCTGTGTCTCTTCTACCACTTTTGGTTCATTGTGATGGATGGTCCTAAACTGAATGTTTGCAGAACGGCAATACTCTTCAAAACCATAAAGATACCTACAGACAAGGAAGGTCCCATTTATATTCCATGGTTTATTTTCCATTTATTGAAGTGCATAAAACCTATTTTCCTGCTCAGTAACTTCAGGAAAATAATAATAAAAAACCCACACAACAACCAAATAAACCCAAATAAAAATATAAAAGCTAGAGAAGATTTTGAAGTGAAACAACTTTATATCAAATGCTGAAAAAGAATACACAGAGGTGCTTCTCATATATTTAACTTCATTCCCATCCAGTTAAGAATTCATGACAGTAATGCCATGCATGAGCTTGTTCTCTGGAAACTGCCTGTGCACACTCTAATCCAGTTATAGGTGACAGAGGTATGAATTAGCTTATTCCTCAAAGAATTAATATGCAAGTTACAACACACTATCACTGTCACAACACATTTTCATGTGTCCAAACAACATCATCATTATTTCCACTGTAACAGCAACCCAGTACACATTTACCAATTACTCTTTCCAGATAAACACTCTTCTCTGTAAAATACAGACCTTAAACATGTGCCCAGTTCAAATCCCACTGCAGAGAGTCTCAATACTGTCATCTTCATAGACATTAACATGAGTTGAGTCATTACTCATCCCTATTTCCCAATTTCCTTAGGTCTGAGTCAAAAGAATCTCACTCTTCCCTTTTACTCAAAAAGCCCAATTGTTTCTTGTCAAACTTCCAGGAGGATAAACAATAAAAAGAACTTTTATTTAGAAAACGAGCTTGGAAAATGTCATTCCTGAAAGGTCTGCAATGCAAAAGTTACAACACAGCTGAAAAGTGAGGGTGAGAAGAAAAAGATTTATGCATTTGGTCAATGTAAGTAATGATTTTACTATTTAATAACTCTCACATTCACCACAACAATGCACACAGTTAAGCCCTAATGACATTATTCTACAAATTCTGCAAAGATTTGATGTAAATGTACAATCTAAAACATGTCTTTTTACAGTAAAAACCTTTCACAAAGTTAAAGCAACTGGTATAAAATTCTCCTTAATGCATATGAGATCTAAAGTTTAAGGAGTCTGTTAACTGCCTTAACTGGCAAAACTGAATCTGCCAAAGCTTAGTTTATAAATTTCAGTGGTGTACTCTGAAACACCATCACCACAGGAGGAAAGTCAAAGTTTCTTGGTAAGAAATGAGCAGAATCCTGATGTATTGGAGCAACAGGAACTTCCAGCCCTGACTCCTCCCTCCTTTCCTCCACATCAGCACTGGAAAATCCTCAGAATTGTTCATTAACTGAAGAATATCAAGTGCTGTCTCTACCAAAAACCTCTTGAATATTGCACAAGCTACAACTAGGAAAAAGAAAGGCAAAGTGTTTTCACCACTATCCAATACAAGAACTTACTTTCTATAAGCAGTTTTTACGTTGTAGGAAGCAGCTGAGTTCAAAATAGGAATGCCAAGGTCCATATAAATTTGCTTCCATACAGCACCACTTTCAATCTTTGGGGGAAAAAAAAAAAGAAAGTTTATAGGTTTTGTTAAACAAGAACATTAAGGACTAATATCTAACAGAGCTAAAAGCCAGAGTCTTGTATAACTAATGAACATTTTGGGTTGGAAGGGACCTTAAAAATCATCCAGTTCCAACCCTTGCCATGGGCAGGGACATCTCCCACTATCCCAGATTGTTCCAAGCCCTGTCCAAGCTGGCCTGAACACTGCCAGGGATGGGGCAGCCACAGCTTCCCTGGACAACCCAATTATAGATATGAATGAACAGACATTTAATTCAGGGAACATTCAGCACTTACATTGTCACACCCACCCTGCTGATAAACCAGCCTAAAAAGTTTGAAGAGGTTAAGGTCCTTGTAGCCCAGAACTGGTGGTTTATTGATAGGAGTACCTGAATCAAATAAAACAGAAACAAGTTATCTCAAAGAACAGCAAGGTGCTTCTTCCATTCCTTTGGCTCACATTTGATTACAAGTATTCTTCTGCATTTTAAAATCTGCATTTAATGGATTAAGGTATGTTCCCAAGTCAGTAAATTCCAATGACCAGTTAAGGCTTCACCCTGTTTTGAATGCATCATTATCTCTGGGTGGTTTATCAGCCTACCAGGTTTATTAACAACCCCCATCCACGTGGCTGCATCCCACTGCTCCTCTCATGAGCAGGGAGGACAGCCAGAAGTGCAGGAAGCTCCAGAGAACACCTGAGGAATGCTGGAATGGAGCAGTGTGTGAAGAGATTCACTAAAAGCACCGTGGGCTGAAAGGAACGAGGAAGAAGCAGAGATGTTGGATTAGGAAGAGGCACTCAGGCAAATTGTCAGAATGTGGAAAAGCACAAGGACCTGACAGGACATGAATATTTGGGGCAGTTCCAGGGAAAAGAAAGAGCTCAGATCAGCTGAGTGGCAGTGACAAACAGAACAGTAATTATCTGCAGAAGGAGAAACCAAAAGTGACTTAGGGCAAGTGGCTGCATACGTAGACAATAATCCTCCCAGCAAGGGAGAATGCCAAACCTCCTCCCTGCTGCTTTCTATCTTCCCTCATCTCCATGCAATTATATTTGGAATCATTAAAATAATTTTATAGGACTTTGGGAATACTGTCATGATTCCATGAATCAAAACATTTATACTGAGAGAATGTAGAACAAATCTGCTGGGAATAGAAATCTTGCTATAAGGATGGAGAAGGAAAATAAAAAGCAAACAGGCAAGGGGAAAGTCCCAGGTCTGAAGAAGTCCTGCACACTGCTCAATCCACAGACTGGCTTGAAAAATATTTCATGGACTGAGTCTTCAACTTCAGCATACAAATGCTTTCCTCTTCTGCCTTCACAAGGTCCTGACAGCCCTACCTGTTTTGTAGCCTGGAGTGTTTAGGAAAGAGAATGAGAAGGCAAGAAAACAGGAAAGTGGGAAGAATCAGGCTACATGAAAGAAACACTCTGGATTAGCCCAGCAGCAGAATGATTTCTTTTCTTTCCCCCAACTTAGCCTTTTATTCCCCTAAGGCAGCTTATTCTCCAGAAACACTGGTTATATACACAGGAGGCCTTCCAAATTATATTGGATGAGCTCCAGAACACTTTGCTATAATACATGCTCCATTTCTAAACCTATGATAACTGGTAATATTCAACAGCTTTTGGATTGTGCTTTTATGATTCTGTGCTCTAGAACACACCTCCTTAGAACAGACCCTCTTTTACAAAGGCAGCTTGATTTCCCCATTAATTTTAACAACCTCCCACCCTCAAAAAAGAAAGGGGCAAATATTCAGACTCTGCAAGTACTTCAGGTTTCACCCTTAGCTCTGGTCATTTCAAATTCAATTACATCAATATTTGCTGCACTCTGTGCTGCTATGGAAATATCATTCAGGTAGCTGCTGTCAAGAGAAAAGAAAGATGAAAAGAAAAGGGAAAAGGGCAGTAGTTACACCTATAATCTACCTCCACACCAAAGCTACTGCAGGATGAAAATGGTAGTTGAAATATAGGACTGAAATGGTGACTTCATGAGTAAAATTTATCAAACCAATATACTCTAAAAGACAAAATTCTGCAGGATTGAATAGAGATTTTTAGAAAGAAGCATAAAAGCTTCCATTTTCATGTCAGTCTCATCACAACTGCACATGCCTTATGCAAGAGCAGCTCTCCCAAGTCAGCAGGTACACCCTGCTCCCTGTGCAGAGCACGTGCACTTCTAATACTGCTCTGAAACCAAGAGTTCAACTATTCTAATTTATTAAGTCTCACTTAATTCTGTAAAGACAGATGTTTAAAACACACTATTTTGTTCTTCTAGCTACAGGATAAAATAGAATCTTTTGTCTCTTCAGGTATCCCTGCTCCATTTGTGCACAGAGATTAGAGGATGGCACATCTCCATTCTGTGCAGGTTGGATTTCACCATCCGTGGACAGACTCCACAGCTTCCAGCCTGGGATTAACAGCAGCAGAGCTCTCAGCCATGGCTGTCACAAGCAGAAATTAACCAAGGGCTTCTTTAACAGGCATTGGGAACATAACAAAGGCTTTGTGAAAGCAAAACAAAACCCAAACACCTCAGGCAGGATTTGAGTTCCCTTTGAGTGCTGTGCCATTAAAGAAGTGGACAGGACATAAAAAAGAAGAAAATTCAGTGTTACCTCTGTCTTCCATAAACTTGTAAAGCTGTTGGAGGAAGTTGTCCCTCTCTTCAGGATCAAGCTCTTCCTCAGGCTGTGAAAATAAATGCAGTCATAAATGAAAACAGCAAATATGCAAAGTAACCATTTATTTGTACAAAAGCCTAAGAGCAAGAACTAAACCCAAACCACTTCCCATTTGGCCCTGAACCCGTGTAATGGTGAAATATGCAGAAAACAAAATTTACTCAAGAAGACTGAAGAGGTACCTCAGAGGAAAAGAAGAAAATGCAGGTCAGGGAAAGCATCAGTCCATGAGAGAATGAATGAGTGACCCTCAAAATGACAACTCTGCTACACACACAGCATACCTGCCTAACACAGAAGAGGGCTGGTATTTACAAGACCCAAAGAATTCACAGGAATTCCAGGGTTTTTGTTTTTTTTTGTTAAGTTCTTTCTGTTTGTTTGGGGCTTTTTTGTTTAACTCATTTTCCTTATCCCAGAGCTTTAGCTCAGATTGCAGATCAATTTTGTACCTGTTGGAGATGCTCCAGACAGTATTTGTTTTGTAATTAAGTTCCAACGCTTGATTTCAGCTTATATTTGGAAACACCTTTAAAGTCACTTCTATAATTTATTATTATTATCAATTCCTTAGTTTAACCTTTACAACTCAAAGCCTCAAAAAGATAAACACTCTGAGATAAATTTATGGCAAGTAATCCACAGCATGAAATAAAGATATTCCTTTTATTCCAGTGAAAATTATTTAAAATACAGTAAATTTATTGGAGGGGGTGGAAGGGACAGGGAGAGGAAATAATGTCTACGTATCTTCATGGAATTTTGAGATTCTAGCAGAGACCAAAAAAAAAAAAACCACCAAAAAAAAAACCCAAAGCCTTTTCCCTGCAATGCTTTTTGCATGCCACCTTCTTCCTGCCAGCCTGGCAGTTTGCACAAGGCAGGCTGCAGCTGTCTTGAAGGAAAGACGTAGAGTACGTGTCAAAAAATCTTATCATTACATTATTAAAAATAACAGGAAAGTGACAAGCAGTTCCAGAAGGAAACCAGAACAACAATTTAGATTTCAGTCATCTCTGCATGCTGTAAACTTGAAGCTTCAAGGCAAGGAGATAGGCAGGGAAATGGGGATGTACATGCTAATGCCTTACTAACCAGCAAGCAATCTGCCCAGCATCAGAATGAATCCCAGCCCTGCCTGCTTCACTGAATTCTGAGCTTCTAAACCCAACAGGGCTCAGCTACAATCAGGCAGAGACAATATCTGTGTCTTACTTCACTAATTTTTCTTCTGGAATAATTGGAGGAAATTAAATGTGTAATCACAAGGCTGTACAGCATCAGTTACCATTTGCTGAGCACATCACAGGGATTATATAAGGAGAAACAGTTATCTATAGAATTAGCATGCTCTTCCAGGTTATCAAGTGAAGTATTGCTATAGAAACCACAGCTTTTTTCTCTCCATCCAGACTGCAAAATAACTTCAAGATCGAGAAATTTCTACCATCTACTGTAATGTTTACTGGCTGAAGGCAATACAGCTCAAACTGTGCAAACTAAATACATCTAATAACAGTAAACATCCAGAAATACTTCTGAATAGTTGAATTAAAGCCATTTCTTCTGTGTGGGCACAAAGCCAAACCAGAACTGTGGGTCAGAAGAGCAGAAATGCACATTAAAACAGCAATCTTGCAGCCAGAATTTAGCCCATCCACTGAGAGTGAGTGGAAGAAATGCAGATGAAGAAAAGCAAAAAGGGAAGATGAGAAGTGTTATAGGGTGGGGGCATAAAACCTGGCTGCAATAAGCATCCACCTGTGTGAGACATCCCCAAGGCTGCATCTGCTGCTCTCTGTTGATGGTGTATGAGCTCCTTGACAGAGGGAGGCTGAACTGTGCCTGCTCCTGATGCCAGAAAAGGCACCAGATCCTTCTGAGAAGTCCCCTGAGTAAGGTCTGAGTGGCTGCCACCACAGAACACAGCTTGGATCAGTTGCTCTTTTGCTTCTGGCCAAAATGAGAAAGACCAACCTTTCCTGGATTTGCTTACTGCAACATGAGGACAAGATGCCATTTTTTACCAGGGTTATCTGTTTGGAACTGGACATTAAAGAATTCCAAAGAGTGTTTGCTGTTCTCAGAGAGTTTTACTATAAATGTATCAGCTGATATAAAATTATAGAATGGGTTGGGGTGGAATGGACCTTAAAGACCCAGTCCCACCCCCCTGCCATGGGGGTTCATCTAAGCTGCTGTAAATCTGCACCCAAATCAAGGAAACACCTGAGAAATGTTGATGCCAGAACCTGTGATCACCATCAGGGGGAAAATGGAGAGCTGCAATTGCCAGCACTGCTTTCCAGCAGGGACCAGGATGACAGTGCTGCTCTCCAAAACTCACTGCCACTATCCAGATATTTGTGCTCATTTTAATCTTGGGCATAAATAAATTCAGAGTGATAATTGTTTAAAACCAGTTACTCAAGAGAGCTCTGTCTCTCCATTTCATTTTTTCTTACAGAGATGTTGCAAAAAGGGGGAGACCATAGCCCAAGGTAAGTCCAAGTGAGAGGCAAAACAACATGAAAATTTTAAGCTGCAAGAGTTCAAAGCTGAGACTTTTCTGCTGCTCATCCAATACTCACAGCTAAATGCAACATGAGAAGAACTTTCTAGTTTCAGGATGAGAGGCTGAATTTCATTTCAATGAAACTAAATAAAAATCTCTAAGATGCCCCTTTTCTAATTTAAAGATTGAAATTTTATGGGTTTGAGATTTTTTTCTTTTTTCTGACAAGCAGGCCACGTCTGTTAGGGAACACTGGAAATAGCAAAACAATAAAATTGTCCATGAATGTTATCTTTTTATCTTTGTATAATGGACATGTTCCCTTCCCAACTCCATTTCTTATGGTCTTCCAAACAACATTACCAGCATTCATGTATTTTCTAAAACTATCTGGTAAGCACCAGCAACATGAGGCACACAGAAATGTGTAGAACACTTGTAACTGGTTTTGAGTCACCTAATTCACCATGAGCTTTGCCTCTGTCCTTAGCATGATTTTCAACAAGAATGTGGCTCTGTTATCCTGACTCATCATTTACTCTACAGAAAGATGTGAAAGCTTCTGTGGGTGCCAACCTTTAGAGCTGAGTGGGAGCACAAAGGATGAAATAGTTTCTTCTACAAAAGCAAGAATGAATCTCTACCTCCAAGCACGTACACCCTGAACTCAGGCAATCCAAGGTGGAGCTACCAGGGACAGATCTTTCTTTTATGTTATAAATAGACTGACAAGACCATAAATGCTTCTGTGAAAGAAATGCAGGTGAAGAGGAAGAGCAGCATACACAGGATTTGGAGTTCAGAGGAAGAGATGATCAAGACAAGCTGCCAGAATTACAGAAAATGTAATTTTGTTGCTTCACAGTACTTCAATGAGATTTCATCACTTGCACATTTGCTTTCTAACGCCGAGCTTGAAAACTAATTAAGGAAATGACAAGAATTAAACTGATTGCAACAAGTTAACAGCTTTAAACCACGTGGAGATGAGCATGGTCTTAAAATGTTAATTTATACCAACAAGAAACCAGAAATTCCACAAACCAACAATGACTCACTCCAGAGCTGTGCCTCAGTTTGCAACTTCCCTTGGAGTGACATTCTGAGAATGCCTCTTTGCATAAAACTGTGAGCAAGGAAGGCTTTAAAGAACATTTGTGCATGGCATGATGCAGGCTGTGCTTCACAGTAGCCAGAACTCCTCCAAATGCACACATGCATGAGAAGGAGGATTAGCTAATCAATGTTTAGCTATTTTTAAAGGCTATTCTGTGCATTACACATCACAGCTGCTTGGGGGGGTTTATATATACAAATCACAGAATCTTAGGTTGGTTTGGATTGGAAGGGATCTAAAAAACCATCTTGGTTCCATCTCCTGCCATGGGCAGGGACACCTTCCACTATCCCAGGCTGCTCCAAGCCTCATCCAAGCTGGCCTTGGACAGTCCCAGGGATCCAGGGGCAGCCACAGCTTCTCTGGGCACCCTGTGCCAGGGCCTCACCATCTTCACAGGAAATCTTTTTTTTCTTAGTATCTAATAAACCACTTCTTTCTGGATATCACCCTTCATTAACTTGGAAATTACTCTTTTCCTGTATTGAACTTCCAGAGTCAGCTATTTCAATCTTATTTTAAAATACAAATAGGCTGCAACAGACATGGCAATTTGGGTATGATTTTATGTGATCTCCCACAGCTAGTGAGAGCAAAGCCTACACAGGGAACAAGAATTATTTTGAAGCAAAATGTAAATATTTTAATAGTTGACTACTGATTATTTGTAGAAATTTCAAGCCTCCTAAAACACATCATGGATTTCTTATCCTTCCTTTATGGACTTAAAGTTAATAAAACATATGGAAATAGCTTATCATGAGAACTGAAATCTTTGCTTATTTGCAGAATAGGAACATTGGAAAATGCCTCTGGCATCTTCCCTTTTCAACAATGTAAAGCAACTGTGACTGATTTTTTTGATGCTGCTGTGATGCAAGAACCTTAAAAAGGTGAAATGAATGCACCCCATTAAACATGCCACACATGCATCCTCCAGGTGACTGTCAGAAACAAGCCTTGAAGAAAATCCCTCTTAGCAAACACCTGGAGGTGCCACAGCTCTTCCCTCAACGAGCCATGGAGACCTGGAATTTTTTTCTGAAGAAATTCCTTGCCTTTCCTCTGGTCTTCAGGGAATGTATCTGTGGAGAAGGTGTACTGAGAAGATATTTGAAATAACTTAAGATCTTCATTCTAATGGAATCAGAATGGCTCACAGGGAGACAGAGCCAAACCCAAATATTGCTTACACATCCCCTTGTAAAACAGGGAGTATTTCAATGTTTAAGCTTGAGAAACAAATGTGATGGATCACAGTGGATTCCACAGCTTCTCCTACCAGCACATTTTCCTGTCTGGAATCCTTTGCTTCACTACTTGATGTTTAGATCAGATTCTTCTTCCCTGACAGAACATCTTCGAGACAAGCAAATACAGTAGTAGATACAACTTGTTCTGAATAAAAATCAGGTAATGTTCAATATTCCAAAAGCTTTTGTTTCTATGTGGAGATACTGGAGTTAAGATTTTCCCTTTCCTTTTAGCTGCAGTGCATAGACTGCCAAATGTACCTTCCAAACACAGTTGACTATCTTCCTCTGACATGCTGAAAAATGGCTAAGAAGGAAAAGCAATATTCAGATTTTTATGTGGATTCAAATTAATGGAATGATTCTTTTAATTTTCATTCAATAAAGAATTTATTTTTATACTACTTCAGGATTTTTTTCACTTTTTATTAAAAGTGCTATTAAAATCTTAATTGCTAATGGAAAATAATCCTGAGTTGCACCATGTATCACCAAAATTTCAGCAATTTGAACATGCTGAGTAGCTCTGTGTAATGCAATCCCTGTTAGAGTCCATGACAAGCAATTTCCACATTGTCCTCCTTCCCAGTCAACTCTGGACCACACAAGTCACTCACCAGGGGTGAGGAGGAGGAGCACCAAACCAACCCCATGTTTGTTCCCCCTCCTCAGCTTAAAAATGCCATGTAAAGCCTGGAAACGTGGTGGTACCAATTCCACCACCTCTTAAAGATGTCACAAAAGGCAACACACTTAGAAAGATAGTTTCTGTCAAAATAAAGTTGCAGATTTTTAAGCTAGCTACTGGAAAAATGGCAGGATCTAATATCACCAGCTACAGCAGATCTCTCTGCTCCATTATAAATATATATATTTATCATTATACAAGATCCTACTTCAGAAAAACAGGATCCTTTCCATTCCAGAATTAGACTTTTGTGACTGACTTTATCCTGTGATTATATATTAAGTAGGTCTGTGTCCATTTGATTATTTAATGATGGCCTATCATGGCTGGGCAGCAGCTGGAGAGGCCTTGTCAGCAAAGCTGCTGTGCAGGCCAAAAGATGGGAATGGGGGGAAATAAAAAGGTATTTCTAATAATCTCACTCCCATCTCTAATAATATAACCAATTACAGTTCTAAAACAAAAAGCCCACTGAGAATATTCTGGGAGGGGATGGACAGAAGCATTTTTTGACCTTGATTAATAAAAGGAAGCACTCTATAAAATGTAGAATTTCACCAATTCCACATCTGTATTCAAATACAGGCACAAAAAATCCCCAAATCACTCACTTATCAAATCTCTCTGCAGCCAGTATTACTGCCTTTCTAGGGGAAAAAACCAGAAATTCCTGAAATTCCCTAAATGTTGTCTGTTGCAATATCTAGCACGGCCCACAATTAAAAATATGTATTTTAACAGCTGAACCAGGAATTTGACTTAATAGGCCATCATGTCAGTTCTGCTGTGACATTATCTAAAAAGATTCATATCTACCCTCTGCTACACAGCTTCAGCATGAAGATGCTCACCTTACATTCCTACTTGTCACCAGGAAATAATGGATTTCACAGCTTCTCCTATCAGCACATCCACCTGTCTGGAATCCTTTGCTTCACTATTTTACATTAACATCCTTCTTGAAAAATAATCTGTATTTCTTTTACAGGAATGCCTTTTTTTTTTTTTTTAAATCACCAAGCTTCCCCCTCCCCCTTCTTTGTTTGAAACACACAGCATTTTATGCAATAGGCATGAAAAATGATAATAAAAATGGATACTGGAAAACTAGTACAGCAATCCTTGATTTTCAGTGACTGATAGTCTGAAATTTTAACCAATGTTACTACAGACAGAGCAATACAGCCTGCAACAGTTCACACCCTGCAAAATGTGGCCTATTCAGTCTTTTTCACTGCAAACAGAGGGGAAAAAACCCAGAGGATTTTACATTTCTGCACACAGTCATCTCAGATTTATCTTATCATACCATGATTCTTACACAGACATCTCCTCCATTTTCCAAAACACTGATACCCGAGCATAAAATTCCCATCTAAAAACAGATTTTTATTGTCTATTTTTTTATTTTATTTTTACCTGGAAAGATCTCTCCTGGCTGCAGGCTCCACCAGACAGTTCCCAGATCAGAAACCCAAGTCAAACCCCCATCCCCAAGCACCACGCTCACATCACAGATCCAAGCACCCGATCCTTACCTAGCAGCTGCATTCTTTCAAACGTAAAATGGTTTTACTTCCTTTCTATCTAATCTGCCCACTGCCTGGACATATTTTCAGCCTGACTTCCAAATATTCGCTCGCGTTCGCTCTCTCTCCCCGCGCGGGGGCCGCGGTTAACCGGCATTACTTACATTCTCTTCCGCACGGGGAGGGGGAAAAAAAAAAAAATAAAAAAAAAAATACTAATAAAAAGAACTAGGGAGACTAAGGAGAACGCGAGGCATTAGATGAAAGGCAGAGGAAGGGCCAGCCCATCTCCGAGCCCCCGGCCAGCCCCGGCTCCCGCGGCCGCTCCCCGCGCCTGCGCCGCGCCCGCTCCCGGTTGCCCTGGGAACGCCGAGGCCGCCGCCAAGCGCCATCGGCCATTCCGTGAGGGAAGGGAAGGGAAGGGAAGGGAAAGGGAAGCGGCCTTTGACCTTCCTGCCCACACGCACAGGCCGCACCGGGGCTCCGCGGGTCGTGGTTTTGGGGGGTATTGTGAGAACGGAGCGGTGGGGAAACAAATAAATCCCGCAGTGCCTCCTCTCCCCGCCCCCCCCCCCCCCCCCCCCCCCACCTCCGCCCATGCTTCTAAATCCAACATCCAGGTTACAAGCAGGGAGCAAAAATAGAAGAGAATTGTGTAAAAGCAGATTGATGGCATGAGGAAACTGGTTAACTTCATGGAAAAGGAGCCACTTTAAATACTCGAATGCAGAAAAAACTGTTATTATGAGAATCGTGGAATCACATTCCACGATCTGAGCTGGAAGGGACCTTAAAGATCATCCAGGTTTAACTCCGTGCATGGGGACACCTTCCACCAGATCAGGCTCCTCCAACCCTGTCCACGCTGGCCTGGAACAATTCCAGGGATGGAGCAGCCCCAGCTTTCTGTGGGCAACCTGTGCCAGGGCCTCACCAGCCTCACAGCCAAGAATTCCTTCCTCATGTCTACCCTAAATCTCTCAGTCAGTTTAAAACCATTCCCCCTTGTCCTACCACTCATGCCCTCGGTGCAAAGTGCCTCTCCAGCTCTCCTGGAGCCCCTTAATGCCCTGGAAGGGGCCCTCAGGTTTATCCCAGAGCCTCCCTCAGGTGAACACCCCCCAGCTCTCAGGCTCCTCTGGGGCAGCCCCCACAGCTCCCTGTGTGCTGAGGACAAAGAGCTCCAGTAGGGTTTCATGAGACCAGAAGAAAGGGGAGAATCCCTTTGTGAGGCAGCCCAGGGCATGTTCAGCTTTCTGAGCCACGAGCGCTTACTGCTGGCTCAAATCCAGCCTTTTATCCACCAGAACCCCCAAGCCCTTCTCCACAGGCTGCTCTCCATGAATTCCTCTCCAGTCTGGACAAGCCACAGCACGTCAGACACAAAGTGCATCCACCACATCATCCTGTGATTCCCAACCTAACAGGCACGAAGGGCTGTCCTCTACTTCTCCTCAGCAGCATTTACTGCCCTGTGAATCAGCTCATGGTTTCAACCTCCTGCTTTTGCTTGAAATTTTTGTCTTTTTAAAATCACACTACTGTTTTCTGAAACAAGTTACTTCTATATAACCTACATACATGTGAGTTCTGCAGTATTTTAATTAACCATTTTGTAACTTATTAATATTTTTATAAGGTTTTTAAAGGTTAAATTATTTAATTAAGAAATGATATTTAAATTATTTTTATTTTTAGTTTAGTTATTTGAACTCCGCAATGCAGACTTTTTTAATTATAAAATGTAATTTAAATTTATGAAGGATTAGCTTTTGTTTTTAATTTTTTTTTGTTTTATATATTAGTATATATTAGTAGATTTTATCTATTATAATCTACTATATATTAGTAGATTTTAAAACTTTCAATTTTTTATTTTGTGAGATATGACAAGTTTTTATTTAAATTATATACGCATAATTTTAGTATTATTAATTAATTTTGGAAGCTTTCTCCATGACTTCAGGTCAAATGTAGTGTTCTCTTAAAGGTTTGTGTTTTTTAGGATACAAAGTTTAAAATCCTTAGTATCTAGAGTTCTAACACATACAAAGAAAAATCCAAAAGGAAATTACAGAAGAGAAATACAAAGATACTGTATTTAAGGTGGAATTACTACTATTAGGCTCAACCTAAGTTTTTAGGTTTTGCCTTTTCTTTTGACCAGAACCTTTCACTCTTCTCTGCCTTGAATTTAGTTTTTGAGATGGGTAACAGGAGACAACTTGCCACTGCTCACAAATCTCAATAGAGACAACTGTTATAGAGAGAAAATGAGCAGGAGTGAAAAGACACCAAAGTGAGCTGAGTCTGAGAATAGTATGTTGGAAAGTGCAGGATTGCAGGCAAGCAAGTCATGAAATTATCCCTGAAAGATGACAGATTGTCCAAAAATGACTCAAATTGAGCAGACTCACCACTACTTCTTCTGTTTTCTCTTCTCTTTTAGGCTCTTCTTCATCAGTTTCTGCAGCAGCTCCCTCCTCCTCATCACTGCTGGAGGACTCCAGGATCTCACTGATGTCCATTTTCCAGTTCCGAGGCACAGCCCTGGTGCTGAGAAATGTGCTTGCCTCCTGTAGCCCTAGAGAGGAAAGGGCCCTGGCTTTACCTCATCTGCAGCATTCACAGCCACAAAGCTTTTTTTATTTCCTTTTCACCTTCTTGTAAATCACAACACCAACTTAAATGCAAGGAATCCATCACAGATCAAGCACCATGGCTTACTTTGCTCTTTGCAAAATACCATGGTTTAGATTTAAAAAAAAAAAAAGGGAAAAAAAGAGCACTGCCCAAAGAGATTTGACATTAATGTTTGGAAGAGAGGGAAAACATGTTAGTGAGCAAAGGAGTGATGGGACAGGCACAAGTTACATTTGTAAAATGGAAATACCTCAAATTCTTTTCCTTTAAGAGGTGCTCCAAGGGTGGAAAACAACAATGGAAAACAAACCCAGATAACCCCAAAATCTGCCCCTCAGTCACAATAAAAGACTTTAATAAAAGAGCCAGAAAAACACCCAAAAGAAGAACATACTGCAATGAACTGTTCAGTGTTAGCAGAGAAGAAAAGGCACCAGTTTTTAACACTGCTGAGAGAAAAACCTCCAGACATTGGTCTCAACTCTCTTTCTCTCTTTTTCTATTTTTTGAAACCATAAACCATTAGTACCTTTGGTTCCAAAATATTCCCTTGTAACAAGGAATGTCACAACCCAATTATGTTCTCCACAGGAAAAAAAAAGTCCCTTTCTTCAATTTATCTCAAACCTGGCATCTGCTCTTTTTTTTGGCTGTTCTAAAGTTCTTGTACTGTGAAACAGTTATTAAGAACAAAGTAGAAGAGAAATCATATAGTATTAGACAAATCAATCAAAACCACCTCAACCTTTTATTTGAAGCATTTTAAATTTTGACTTGTTAAGCAGCTGCTACACATCTTTACTCAAACCAGATACTGTTGTTGAGTGGGGATTTTCTTGTTGCTGGGTGGCATTTTAAATTATAATTTTTAATAAATAAAATCAAAACATTTCTCTTTAACACATTTCATGTTTTGATGGATTCTGGTACCCATGTCATCTATCCATTCATCCAATTCTGTAATTATATTTTTAAATTAAACATTAATCACAGACTTGTTATGAAGTTTACACCCTGCTGTCTAGGTATCTTTAAAGTAAACAGTGTTTTGAGCAATAGCAAAAATTTTAGCATTAGGAGAGGTAACTATATATTCCATTGCTCACTGACACTTCAAATAGACTACACTGAAAAGATTCTATTCATTTTCCACAAATTTGGACTGGATCAAAATAATGAACTAAAAATAAAATAAAGAAGATTCCTACTAGATGAAACTATATCCAAAGTTTCTCTAATTTCTCCCATTTAAAATTGTTTACAAAATATCCAAGAGCAATTATCAGAAATTAAATTTATCAACAAATGTAAAAAGAATCTTTGCATGAAATTACTTCTTTTAAACACCTAGAATTTATTCTAAATTACCTTTTTTAGGAGAGGACTCCGATTTTGGTAAGTCTTGAAGATCTAGCTCCTTAATGTCTTTTCTTGCTATTGAGTAACTGTAAAAAAATAAGGTTTTGTGATTACATCACAGAAAAGCAAGCATTTGATTTAGAAAAACAGCAATTTCTAAAATTTTCAAGAGTTATCATTCACTGCAAGGTCCTTGCTAACAACTACCTGCCTAAGGCACTTGTTGTGTATGGTCCAAACACAAGAGTAAGTTACTCAGGGTAACTTTCCAATCTTTGACATCCAGGCATTAAAGTATCCTTAAGTAATTAAGAAAACTTTGTAAATGTCTTTTATTGTAATTGCTTAATCTGCACAAATTTGCAAAGGTTAAACATGCAGACAAAAAAAATAATTTCTGAACTGCAAATATGCACAAGAATGAACAGCTGCTCTCCAAAACAAGGATCTAGCTAAGAGGACAGAAGCAAGTCCTCTATTTTCAAAATGCCTTTTTACTAACATGAACAACAGTGAAGCCAATTCACAGATTTGCATTGATAGACAGTTGATTTTAATTTTTAAATTACGAAAGTGTTCTCACAGCAAAACATATGGAGGTTGCTCTGTTCCAAAGTCATACTGGATATCCAGTCACTGAGTTACAGGAGAAATCCCAACCAAAATGCAGGGAGAGCCTTACAAGTGAGTTAGGCTAACACATTTTTTTCCTTCTTTCATTATATCAGAAAATCTGGAGTAAAACTTTACGAATCAGAGGCTGCCATTTTCTGAAGTTAGAGCTATTAGGGTATGGGGAGAAAAACCAAAAAATCAGACAGAGCATATCTAGATGTTTCACCAGTAACATCCAACCTTCAGCACAGAGCCAGGCTTCTCCAGAAGGCTGATGATTTATCCACATGAAGAGGCCAAAATGAACCAAATCTTCAGGTGCTTGAAATGCATTTCAGTAATCAACTAAATAACCTACTCAAAATCATGGCTATCAAAAATCAAAAACTGCTCACTTTGAAAGAAAGAGGGTGACAGGTGGCCTTTGGCAAGGAAATTGTTATTTACAATCTGGTACCACAGATGCAATGCAATAACAATGAAGAGAAATAAAGGGGAGCAGCCTTAAAAAACCCAAAAGCAGTCTTCATGCTCTTATGAATACATAATTCAGTACATAAGACACATCTCTGTCTCCCTCTCCTCCTTCTGCCTTTTAGAGTGGAGGATAGACTAAAAGGACTCTTCCTTCTTTTTGAAGGAATATGGTTCATGTTCTGGAAACATTTTCATTTTAACAATTCTATGTGAATTCTCTTTTCTATTAAAAAAAAAGTAGATTGAACCCTTATAAACTATGTAAACAGCTATGGACATCTGGGCACTGGAAGTAATGAAACAGATACCCAAACTATTACAACTGACACCCATACAGAAGGTAATTTAAGGCAGTAAGGGAAATAATTAAAACCAAAACTCACTTTAAAGGATAGAAATGACGTAAAAAAAAATAAAGGTAAAAACATCCAAGTGTTTACACTTGAAATTATTGATACGTTTACATGAAGATGCACCAGAAACTTTCTTGATTCAAAGAATTCTTATTGTTACACAGAATGGAAAGAAGGGTGAGGAAGCTGGAAATAGATTGTGAATGCCAAATGTGTCCATCCAGCATTACAGAAAACTGCACCCTCTCCTTTTGGAAGAAATAACATCTCCAGGAGCAATATGTGCTGGATTTCCCAGTTTCCCCCCACAGATCTGTCACCAAAGTGAGCTGTCACTTACAATTTGGAGTCTGCAAAGGAGCGAACTAAACACTGGTCCTTCTTCACGGTGACATCGTCATTGCAGCTTGGGGACACCACCTGAGGAGCCAAGTAAAACATTCCTTTATAAAAAACCCAAAAAACTGCACACCAAAACCAACCAAACAGACAAAAGCTGATCCTGAAAGGAAAGAAAGATAGACTGCAGGAAAACTTTGCTGTTTCTTCTATTATATTTCCAGTATTGGATAAACAAACCTACTTCCATTTTTACTACTAAAGGCCAACAACAACACATTTCAAGAAGCAATTTACCCCAAGCTATTGACTTGTTCTGTACAAGCCAAAAAAGTCTAAAATTTCATTTGAAAACTAATCTGCTGAGGTCACATCACAGGATCCTGTTCATTCACTCTGCTTTTTTAGTTCTTGTTCACACAAAAGTTTTTTAAAGCATCTATTTAAAAAGTCACAAATTTTATTTTTTATTGCTTCTGATTTTTGGCATTTAAACTGCGAGTTAAGTTGGTTTTTTGGTTTGTTTTGTTTATTGAGGTGTGGATAATATAAACCACTGTGAATCCACCACATCCTTCCACAGCAGTATCATCTCTAGGTCTAAAGCAAGTGACAAAAATACATTTGCAGTATTTGTATTACCACCAACAGAACAAGTTTATGTTTTGCTCTAGAAGATGTACCAGCAGAAAATGTTAAATGCAAATATATGACCTCCAAGTACTTAACCCAGCAGTTCAGAACCATGGTAAATAAAAATCTGTCATTACTAAAGGGAGCTGCAATCAGAACATGTACAATACCACCTTTTAAATTGAGGTACATACAGGGGGATGAGGCAGTGTCAGCTGTTCACCCTACATCACACCATGTCTGAAAATAGCAAAAAGTTTTCTACAGAAAGCAACTTTTAACATGCACATGTAAATTTCTTGTGTGCATCAATAAGATGCAATGTTTCTGCCTTTACAATACAGGTCCACTTGAGCTTGGATTTATTTAATTTATATTTATTATCAGCAGTGGCAATGAACAGCTGTATCATTTATTGACAGTCAAATAAAAATAAGCACCAACATCTGCTCCTACAGTAACTGACCACTGGTACAAAAGCAAGCATCAAAGAAATCAGTATTTCATCAAACTGAAAGTCTAGGGAAAAAGACAATTACATTTAAAAAAATTTCAAATCCCACTGCAATTAAAATTCATAAATCTAGATCCTCTCAAATTGCCTAGGAGTGCAAGTCCTAACATATTTTAATTTTAGAAGAAAAGTATCATTACACACTGATCATTTTCTATGCAGTTCTAAAACACTTGAATGCCACGAAACTAACTCACACATAAATGTTAATCTCTGCTTTCCTACTCTTCAGAGATACTGCAAAACACTTGTATTTTTAGCCAGCATGGGAGTAGAGCTTAGGCTGACTGCATTCACAGCTTTGCTGCAACAGGAACTCACCAAAGCTGGGTACCAGTCTGCCTTCTCTGAATTACAAGTCACACTCACAACCTTGCCAAGCAATTCATCGTTGAGGCGCCTCTTGTCTTCATCCTCTTCTTCACTACTTTCTTCTTCCTTTTCATCTTCAGTACTGCATTATCAAAATGTATAATATGTTAAAGTTTGTCTGAAGTTATTACTTGAAAACCAAAAATAGCTTACAATAAGATTTTTCTTCCCATTTCGCAAAGCTTCAAAAACAGTTGTAATTTTAAGAGCTGAAATTGCTTGAAATACACTTAAATATTAAGTGCACTTACTCAGTAAGAGGAGTTTTATAGGAATTCTTTCTAAGTAGCAGTATTTTACAACACCATCATGTTAGAACTGGAGACATGACTCAGGTTTTGATTGTGCACAGACATGAAATGGAGAAAAATCCTCTTTACCCCAAAAATTAAAAAGCACCTTTTCTTTTTTTTTACTGTGTTCAATATCAAGAAGGTTAAAAAATCCTACATTTCCTATTAGATGAAAGAAGCATAAATATTCTTAAGGATACTACAGGGAAAAACACCTTCAATTTCACAGTATTGCCAGCATATGACCATGTCTGTCAGCTGTGCACAAAATTCAGGTGACAGAGCACTCATTCAGTGGGACTGCTTCAGTTTTAGCAAAGAACACTAAAGGAAAAGCAGAACACTCTCAAAACTCACACAGGAAGAGAAGATCTTCTCCCTCTATTAGATTTCTTCCCAATAACTGGAGTTCCAAAGTGCTCTGGATTGGTTAGTGGCAGTTGATCAAGTGTCTGCACGGAAAAGGGGGAACCAACAATGGTTTGCAATATTTTGGTATAAAAGAAATATGAATTAACTATTTCTTTTTAATTCCATGTCCACCACTGCCTTACCTCACTTTCTGCAAAGTGCCTTTCTCCCTTCAAGCATAATGAAGTTCGTCTCAAGGTCCTTTCATCACCGTCATCAAAAACTAGGGGGAAGCCAAGAAAACCATCAGCCCAAGCTGATCAGATCCCAATCCCAAATCTACTGCTTATCCCACAATCAAGAGCATTCTCTAAAACATCACTTTCAAGCCTAATTTACTCACTCTTTAGTCCACAAGCAAAAGGAAAGTCAGTATTCAGGATTCAGTCTTGGAATAGGTTTTCACACAGAGATTCAAGCCAGGGCCATGGAAGGCTTTGGATGCAAGTCTCAGTGTAATTTAAACATTCTTCTTATCAATACAAATGCACATTTCAAACCACAAGCCTGGCTGCACACTAGTTACCATCATCTAGCAATCTCTGGGGTTTGTTTGGTTTTGTGGATTTTTTTTCCACCCTATACATTTCTTCCTTCCTTATCATCATTTAATAAATATGGTACTTTTTACTTCTCCTCTTGCTATGAGCAATCCTACAAAAAGATCAATGGAAAGAAAAACAAGTTTCTGCTACATTATCAATGCCATCTTACAAACAGATCAAGATACTGGAAACCTGCAATTCCAGGTCTGACACTTGATAAGGAATATTTAGTCCACATTCTGTTGTGTTATATCTCGTGAATAGGAAGTTCCATCAATTTCCATCAATACACAGCAGAAGAAGGATAGAACACTGTGAGGCTACTGCAAGCTTTGCCTGAGAAAGATCTGTTCTTCAGTTTAGATCAAACTCCTCCAGGAAAATTTCCCTGAAGAGAAGAAAAGCAAAGTTCCCAATTCCCCCTGACAGCAAAGAGCAGAGCCCAGGTGGCTGCAGGCTGGAATCCCAGCAAGGTCCAAGTTTATTTGTGTGGGGTCAAAGTGCAGAACACAACACTTCCCTATATTTAAACTACTTGAAACAGGCTTTGTGCACTAGTGAAAGAAAGTTTCAAGTGCTGTGCATAGCAGTATGGTAATTTTGGCATACTTCTAAAATTAATTAAGCTGGATAAGATAAGCTTTAAGGTTCCTCCATCTTCAGAGTAAATACTGCTGTGGTATGCTCCATATGCTCCACTAGTGAATTATCTTAATGGCTCACAACACTTGTGCACACAAAACAATTTTTCCCCCTCCAAAAATCTCTAACTACTACATTTTCAAGAATAATCATTTTAGGGGACAAATGGCTGGTGACTGGCAACAAGTAACTTGATTGAATAAAAAGGAAACAGAACCTAATACTTGACAATAGAACTAAACTGCTTCTTTTTATTTATTAACTCCAAAATTGGAAGCTCTATCTCTTTATTTAAAGCTAGTACAGGAGAGGGATAAAGCAAATAAACTGTTCATAAAGGAGATGACATATACCAGTTTTTCATCCTTAAAAGATTAAATGTTATAAATACAGAAGGTTAAGTAAAATACCCTCAGTAAAATACACTTAAATTAAGACACAAAGGAAATTATGACAATCAAGAGTAACAATTTATGTTGTGGACATGTACAAAGTACCTGCAACTGCCAGTGTAGCTGCAGAACATGGAGCAAAACATCCTTGCAGAACAACAAAGTGTAAAAGAACAGCATAAAGAGAAAGATTTCCTTAGCTACATAAGTGATCACTTTAATAAGTTTCAACAGAGAAAAGATAGCACCATTTGTCATAGCAAAATATCAATTATTTGAGTTACTAAGGTGGAGCCAAGTAAGGAGTCTCTCCAATTAATCATGATGCTTGAAGTATTTCATAATTGTAGCTACTTCAAACTTGCTTCTCCTCTAGGGAAAACACTTGACTGAGCCTTACTGAAAGGGCAACCAGAAACTCCCACTGGTAAACTCAGCACCTTTAAAAACACAAGCATTTCTTAAACTAAATAGGCCTTGTGGTTTCCATCTCACTCTTGAGAAAAATCTGCTACACCAAAGTACTGCTCATATTCATGTCACCCTGTGAGTGACTCTTTAATGCCATCCTAGAGGATTTAAGGGAATGTCTGTCCAAGGCACAGTATCAAACATTAAGGATTCTGTAAATATAAGCAGGAAGGCAGATGGCACAGTTTTTGGCTATGAGATATTTTGAAGCTGTGATAACAGTCGTGTCAGAAGAACTTAATGCACTCTAAGCTGCAAATTCATTCCTCTTTTTAATCTCATCCAGAAGCAAGGTTGTTTAACTCTAGCTAAAATGCCTACAACTAACAATCAAACAAAAAACTTTTAATGTAAATGATCTTCATTCCTTCAACAGGTTATTGCTCCAACTCCAAATTCTTCAAAAGGAAAAATCCTAAAGGTTGTGCTTTATAAGGAAGATTTACTGAACAGTGAGAGGGCAGGAAACAGGAAGAGAAGACAAGGAGCTATCTCCCCATCCACACAGACACAGTGAAGTCATCAAAGGATGTGTTTACAGTGTCACCATTCTCATCTCTAAAGAGGAAATTACTGTTCTGTCTTCCCAAAAAAACAAGGGTGAAAAAGCAGAAGCCCTTGAGCTCCTCCCATTGCCTCATGTCACAGTGGGCAGGGGCTTGCTGGGGAAACAGGGGGCAGGAGCAGATTTCTGGGAAGGGAAGGATACAAATTAGCCAGGAACTGCTCAGTGCTGCTGAACAGCCAAGGGAGCATCCCGGGAGGGAAGGGAGAAAAGCGACACTGGGGCCGGGCAGAGCCCTTTCCTCCAAACATGCTCCTTAATGAGGAACACTGACAGAAGGGGAAAGAGATGAGTAAGCAGCACAACCTGGAGGAACAGTCTCTGCCATAATGCTTGGTCTAGTCCCAAGAACTGAGTCCAATATGTTCCATACAGAGCATATTGACACAGTGACAATAAAATGGAAATTTTCGGAATTTTGCTGCATCTCGACCTTGTCTGCGATAACAGGAAAGAAACAGAATTGGGTTTTTTCTGTTTGTGGAAATCTTCACAACCTAATCTAGGACAGAAAAATAAAAACAAACTTCCCAGTGGTGATCAATACAACACTTGGCAAGAATTAACAAAAAAAAAAATTTACTAAAAGTTCAGTGCCTCAAAAATGCAACTTTAAACTCGCTATTGATGAGCTGGTATCTTCCATTTCCTGTCTATAGCAGACTTGTATACACCATCAGTAAAAGCCCACTAACCCTGTCTTTACAATAAGGCTGTCTCAAGTTTGGTTTTCATGTATTTCAATACATAATACTAACCAGTCAACTAATCAAAATCATTTTTAGGAACTGTGAAGAAGCTTGTCACAAAATACTACAGATCAGTTTGACTACATCTTGTTTAGAAATATATATATAGCTACATTATAAATAGATTTAAGGAAAAAAAAAAATCCAAGACAGAAAAAGGAGAAGAGAGCAGAACTCTAGAGACAACATCCTCATGGCAGTTATGAGATGACTTCCACAGAGCCACCAGTGTCACCAGGACACCGCAGTGTCTGTCACAGTTCTGTGACACACAAGTGCACAGGGGAAAAAACCCTCAAGGCTGCATCAACTTCAAATCCAACAAGTTGTGTTACTGCTGCTGCCCAAACCAAGAGAGATTAGATTCTACACTGCAAGGAAACACTTTTGTCTCATTTCCCAATCCATTGAGAAACTTTTAAGTCACAGAGACAATGAAATGAAAGTACATACCACAAATTAAAGCTGTTCAGTGTCACTGTGCACATTGAATTATTCTCACTGGCTGCCTGGCAAAGCAGCAATTTATGAACTGCAAGAGATGCTCTCTAGGAATATCTTGACTAATGTGTGCAGATTTTGCAGGTATTTGGGGTTCAGCTGTGGAAACAATATAGAAAGTACCAGGAGCTGTGCAGGGCCGGTTAAATGTCCTTGTAGACAAGGGCTGTACTACTAATTCATCACTGTAAAAGGACTTCAGAGCAAGTACTGCACTGTACTGTGCTACTGAGGCACCACACAACTAAAATTTAATATTTTTAAATTATTTTAAGTGAGCCCAAGTTCCTCTTACAAAAATATATTTGAAATATCCCAGAAGACAGGGAAGTTTGAGTGACCTTTTAGGCTACTCATAGAAAACTATCACCTCACAGACAAAAGCCTGCTGCCTGAAACTGCTTTTTCTGAAATGTCAATCTTACTATTGTCACACATAAAAGAGATTAGAGAAAAAAAATCTACCTCCTTGCTTTCCCTGGAGTATTGTTTGTACACAATTTTAAGATATTTTTAACACTCAGTTCACAGAGTAACAAAGGTGGTTTTAAAAGCAAAGGTTAGATCCAGTTGATTTGTAACAAGGTTCTACTGTTAAAATACTATTTTTTTCACTACAAAATCTTGCTTCTCTATACACCTGTTCCCTAAACATGTGTAAACACAACACAAAGTGCTGTTCTTTTTTTCTAGATTCTCCAGAGAGCTACTGCAGCATTTTTATGTGCCACAGGTGCACCTAAACAACACATCCCATGGAAGGGCTCTGGACAATACAGGGTTTTCTCAAAATCCACGCAATTTTTAAGAGAAAAATAACAAATTTCTGGTGGGTCATGGTGGTGGAGAACAGCAGCCAAGTGGAGGCAAACACCTGTGGTTCTGGATTCCTGGGTGACACATGCACAGCCCAGAGATGCTGCTGGTGCCACGTGGACCTGAGCAGGATGCTGGGAACTGGTCAGACCAGCCCTGCAGACATGGCCAGAGCCTGGCACACAGCACAGGATGGGACAGACCAGCAGCTCTCTGCCATGCATGGACCCAGCTGCTGTGGGGGCACTGAGGGCTCCCAGCACCCCTGCAGGAAGAGCTTACAGCTGTAGTGGACCCAGGACCAAGCCTATTCTTCTTAGCATAAATATCTCCACAAAGCATCTGAAGAAAAGTGCTTTCAAAAAGAGGAAAATGTGACTGTAAATAGCTCCTGTTAGCAACCCTGCTCCTAAAGTCCTGGGACATCAATATTGGTTCATTTGCTGATAAATATCCTCAGCATTATAAACTGGAATTTTCAAAATCCATGGAACATGCAAGATGACTAAAACCAAATCCTCAGTATCTTTAATTTCCATGACCTCACCACCACAGTAACGTGAAGTGATGCAGTTGTGGCTCAGACTCCAGCTCATACCCAGAACAAGCACCCAGGGCTCTAACTCTGCTCACACACACTCAACTCAGCCCTTCCTGGAAACTGCCACCATGATTACATGAGAGAAGAAGCCACCAACAGAGCTGTGGGGCTCACTGAGGTGCCTCAGGAGTGTTTGAAAGGCAAAAGTCTCCTTTTTTAGTAAGTAATCTTACTAAAGAATCACATTCCCTTTCCCTCTCAGCAGTACATAAAATCCTGATAACTGACAGCAAGGTCTGCCAGAAACTGCCAAGACCTCTCCCTGTTTCCCTCTCCTATTTTCTACTCTTTTCACAGGAAACATTACTGGAAGTTAATAAATATTTTTTTTTTATTTCTTTCTTCTTTAGAAACACTTTTCCATTAGTCTACCTAGCAAAATACAAGGCTCAATATATTTGATCTGGTTTTGTTTAAACTTGTTTAAAGTTGTAGAAATTATATTACATAATAAAAAGAGACCTAAGCACACACAGATCACTGACCTGAGCTTTTTCAAAGGAGAGATGACATGGGGCAAACCAGGCCATTCTAACAGCAACTCCTGGATGCTTGCTCAAATGAAATCCTGTTTCTTACTCATATATATTTATGTATTACATCACTTCTAGGTCTGTGCAGAAGTGATACAAAAGTGTTTCCTCAAAGAACATCTACATAAGGATTTACATTTTCTGAAATTCTGGTAATGCTTGTAAGACTCCAGGCAGAGTGTGAGAGAAGGAAAATACAACAATGCACTTTGTAAGGTGTGGTCCAGGTTGTGATTTCTTTGTTTGTCAGTCATTTCAGACTTTATTTCAGTATTTACCTGCAGCATTTTACAAGTTAACAGAGAATCAGGTGGATGGTACACTCAGTAAACTGTAATTCAAACCTTGTTCAGCTAAAGCAGATCTGACAGACCATCCTAGTTCTATGCAATTATCACCTAACAATAGATTCAGCACTTCAAAAGCATCAATGCAGCACTTGGTAATTTGTAAATTAAAGAAGTTCAGTTTAGATAACTGCATTCTAAAGAAAAATACCATCAAATCATTGAATCACTTAGTAAAATCACCAGGTCCAACTGAACCATTTGTTAACCAGAGAACTTAAACCCCTATTAGTGTCACATCACTTTGGATTTGAGGAGTGCCTTGTGCAGTGACATTTCCCAGACACTTTTAAACTTCCTCTCCAAACAGCTTTTGCCTCTTTACCTGCTTATACTGAAAAGCTGAATTTCAAAGGTAACTTCATAAGTACTTCCAAATCACAGCTGAAATGTTCAGTAGGACTACATGGCTAGATTAACATCATTGTCATATAAAAAGAGGTCAAAAAGTGATTCTGTTGAAGCTACAATAAAAATAAAGCCTTGTTTATTCTGGGTACATGAACACCATTAAAAGACAGGAGATAATGTTGAAAGACACAAACTGATCATCACTGTGGTTCCTGCATTACAGTGCTGGCAAAGTAGCCCATTATAGCAAGCTCAGCACTTCCACTGGTTCCATTTATTGACCAAAGCAAAGTAGTTCCAGGTGGCTTTTCTCCTTTACATCCCTGCATGAAGCTGATATGCAAAAGTGAACATCATCACTTCTTGCTAGGCACACAGGCAGCTTGTTTTGGCATTTTTTACACATCTGTACTCAATACTCTGAAAATGTTTGCCTGTATGTATTCCTGGTTTCATTAGGCAGAGATCAGTTTGCTTTTAGATCACTGAGAAAGAGATGTTAGATAACAGAGAATAAATATAAGGGAAATGCACAAACTACTGAAATACAAGCTCTCCCTTGTGCTTTCCATCCCAAAACGTTCAGGAAGGCATCCTGTAAACATGCAGTCTGGTTAATCCACTTCCCTCTCAGCTGTCAGGGAGTTTGTGGAGCAGCACAGCCACCAGATACTCAAAAGCAACCAATTCAACTGTTTGCTTTACCAGCCCAATAAACATACATCTCATGTCTACCCAAAACTCTCTGCAAAGACACAGTGGAAACAGCAGGCTGAAGATAAAGCTTATTTTTCACATGTCAATATTCCTGTGCTCAGCCTAGAACACTTTCCCAGTTTTAACTACAGAAGAACCAATGCAAACCTGATGATCTGCAAACTCAATGATCTGCTTACTCTGGTCAATGTTACCTGTGCTTTCAACACCAACAAGCAACCCTCCACAAAGAACAAAACTGTTCTAAGACCTAAACCCAACAATTACAATTGTATTCTCATTGTTAAAGCACCATGTAACAGCTCTGCAAGTTCATTTACCATAAAATTACTTAAATCCCCCCTGAGCTCCAAACTTTTACAAAATCCTAGCAGTCATAACATATTTGCATATGGAAAACATATTTTATTTTCTCCATTCTGTCTGTCAAAAAATATTATCTGGGGAAAGAAAATTACAGTAGTTAATTAATCCATTGGTTCAAATTTCTGAGGAACAGCACTTAAATAAATGTGTGTAGCAAAAATCATGGCATGCATGATTTCTCTCTTACATAATTGGGGAGAGTTCAACAAGTTGTTAAATATAAACAACAATCCATTAATACAGGGCAGAGCATTTATTCACTGTTCAAATTTCCTGCTCATCAAGTAAAGATTTTTTGGCAGAAATGCACTGCTCAAAAGAAAAGAGGGAAAAAAAAAAAGAAAGTAAAAAAGAAAAAAGGAAGAAAACACAGACAAAACTCATGCCCCAAACAAGGGATTTAAAGTTCACATGTCAAATGTAAGAAGACAAATGTCTTCTGGCCCAAATTCAAACAGAATTAGCTGAAAGTGCTACTTGAAAACTGAAATCAGCTGGGAGTTCTACAATTAAAATGTTAACTCATAAACCATGAAATTGTGCAAGACTGTGTTTCTTATCACTTCTGTAACAGAATGGTGAACCTCTGAAAATCTATAAAGAGAAGTTAAAGGTCCAGTGTTGTACCTTGAGTGTGTCACATCACAGCACTAAACTAAGCAGATTTTAAATCTTCTGCACTCCAAAATAATCCTGCCTTTCCTCCCTGACCTGACATCCACTACAATTTTACAGCAATGTTATAATCCTGAAGAAAAAGGCAAAGAACAGTGAGCTTTGTCAACCAGCTTAGAGTTAAAGCACTCACTAACAATAATAATCATAAAGCAATAAATCCTTCCAAATTATCTGCAGAGCTTTATCCTGATCCCACCAAAGACAACAGAACCTCACCTACTGCAAAGGAAATGCTGAATTACTGAAAACAGCTTATTTAAATCTTAAAAAGGGGTTAATGAACCAAAATGATTAAGAGTTCATGGGACAGAGGACTCCTCAAGAGAGGATGGAAGAATACGAAGTAAAGCTGAATAGATTTGGTACCCAAGGCAGCTAATGAGAAACACAGAGTTTAAATGTACAAGTCCTAATCTCCAAAGCAATGCCCAAGAGTAGCATGTACAGCACAATTAACAGGAGCAAGTTCCTTCTAGGCAACTATTGGGGAATAGAAGGCTCCACTGCTGGAAGAAAGTTGTGCAAAAAAAAAAGGATGGGTGCTTGCAAAGCCCTCTGATTCAAATACTGTCCTTTTATATTTGCTTCTGTACTAATACTTCACTGTCCCTGAGTTCTGTCATTCTGTTCTTAAAGCTGTTTCAGAAAAACCTGGAGATCAGAATTATTGGAAATAAGGAAACTTGTCTTACAATGAATTCTTGTTCAACACTGACATTTCGCTGACCCTGCATTCTGAACTTTCTATTTCAACCACTTAACACCACATGAGCCTCCAACATGAGGAGAAAAGTAGTTCTCTATTTTTCTTTAGATCATTATTCAAAAATTTTATTAAAGGAAACAGCTATTCACATTATAAATGAATGTCTCCTCTTTTCTTTTTATTGTGTGGTATGTGATTCTTCTCTTAAAAAGAAATAGATTCTGTCTTCTATCCACGTTTTCCTTGTGTACAAGCTTGCACACAATGCAAGGAGGCTCATATATTTCAGTCATCTATTTCATGCCACAGATTTTCAGCTGGAAGAATGATTTTACAAGGTTTATGTCTTCAAATCTGCAAAAATGATTCTGAATTTCACTGAGTGCAACCGCTATCATTACAGGCACATTGTGTGAAACAAAACTTGACTATTCAGCCCTGCAATTACCTGTGCAAAAGCCTCCCTGAACAACAATTAATTATTATCCTGCTTGAAATGGAAAAGGAATCAGATGTGGACAAGTTTAAAAAAAGTCCCCTCCAAAAACTATCTTAGATTTTGCAAAACAAGATGTAAATTACTGAGATTGTTACCTATAATTAGAAATATACTGTTCAAAGATTACAGCCCATAAATGAAACGTGGCCACTCACCTACAGTGTACCAACTGGCATCTGTCAGCTTGCTGATAACTGCTTCCTGAAAAGATCCATCAGGCATTTTGGTTTCAACCATTGCTCCAACCTGCAACAAGGAGCAGCTCAAGGTTACTTGGAATTCCACACTCAGAAAATTGATAAGAACACATTGATCCTCCCAGCAAGCCAGATTTGCTTTTAAAGACTCCACTTAGCTAAATGCTGCTTTGAAAGTTTAGTTATTGAAAGACCCTGTTTAGTTACAGGTAAGAACAAAGGTCCTTCAGCAGGAAGGCTGAACTACAAGCAGACACCAAAGCACTGAGAAATTCAGAACATCTAATTCAGCATGACTTCATCATCTCAAGAAATAAAAAGCCAACAGAAAACAAATACCCAAAGTCATTAATTCATTAGTGATAAGCATACAATTACTAGTATTTCTTATATTTTAAACACAGTTCTAGTGTCAGCTAGATCAGAATTTCAGTAGCAGCCTTGGTGCTCCTGCAGGAGCAACCCAGAAAAGACAAATACAAGATGACCTTCTCTGGAGAACTCTATTTGCATTCAGTGCTCATACCACAGCTCTGCATTTTAGCACACAACTGTTACACAAAATGAAAATACAAACAAACACCTTTTTATATAAAATACATCAACTCTTCTAGAACACTGAGTAATTGTATTTACTCTTGTCCAATGGGCTTGAACATGGCTTGGCACTCAAGTTGTTAATTACTTCTGAGAAGTTTCAACGTTTCATTATTTTTATAAGAAGTTTTGTATTTTATGAGAAGATACAAAAATTCCTGTACAGGCAAAACTGTGCATCAAGTGCACAACACAGAGAAGCATAAACAGCTAAAAAAAATTCAGACTAATTCCTCAGAACCCATCTAATCTAAAGTGATGGGCCTCCTTCTGTTGATTTCTATCCTGAAGAGCAGGTACCCACCTAAACAACTTCAACATTTAGGAGTTTTAGGAGATTTATGTGATTACCAAAAGAAGGCATGCAATATACATACTCTCAGAGGTCCTTTCACTTGGTCATCTTGCACTAACTGAGTTGAGTTATCCCCTTTCAAGACCACCTGAAAAATATTAATGAACTTTTTAAGACACATCTGATTTCTTAATAGCACACAAAAACCACAAGAAAATGTGTATATATATATATATTAAAAAAAAAATCTTATTATTTACATTAAGATTATCAATTAGACTCAAATGTTACTCAACAGAAAACACTTGGCATGACCAGTTTTACTGACAGGAAGCCCCAAGTATCACATTTAATTTTTAATCTGAAACATCATAATTAAAGAATAGGGTAAATCAAACACCAGTCATTCCAAAGCAAAGAAAATACAGTTTTAGGTGAGTTTAGAATTTGACTCAATCCAGGACAAACCTGGAATTGGGCTTCCAGATGAGATTAAGCAGTGGCTTTTTTTTCTCTCTGATTCAGCTGTGGCATTTCACTGACAACACTTTCAATACTAAACTACAGCCAAAATAAAAACCTCTCCTTATTAAAAATGTATCCAAAAAATCACCAAACTGGCCATGGTAGCAGCATTTCTGCCACCTTGAGCAACTTTTTATGGTAAAGATGTGGAACACCACCCACGTGATGAAAATAAGGATCAGTTACAGTGTAAGTAAACTTTGCTTCTGCCTTTAAAATCCTACATTCTAGAAGGGAACAGTGAGGAAACAGAGTGAACATCATCCTATGCAGTTTAATTTTAAAAAAATCCAAAATTTCTATTTGTTTTCAGGAACCAAAAGCTCCAGAAGCTTGCTTTGATAGTGATGTCCAGTTTTCTGGCTCCCCCAATTATCCTGCAAGCACAGACTCCATGTACTGTATTTATAAACACAACAGCAGTGGCATGCCAAAACAGCAGCACTATTAACACACATTCAGGTTCCAAATGCACTCGATGCTGCTACAAAATTTAAAATAAAAATTGCAGAGGGATGAATACAGGTTGTGCTGCTGCTCAGGAAAAGGCTAGGGGACGTTTTGGACTTTTTGCACTCTTGGCAAGAGTGCCAGGGTGTGCCTACACATCTTAATGACAGTATCAGGCTCAGCTTGTTAAAACTTCTATTGTTATAACAGAATCGAGAGCCAGCGACAGGAATTTCCACCGAGTCCCAGCAGCCTCGTGTAATTCCAAATCTTATCTTGGAGTAATAAAGCATCTGATTCTAATGAGAAAAAGCAACTCCTACCTATTAACAGCCTAAATACTCTACCAGACCAAAGATGCAGACTAAATCAAGCTTGTCAGACCTGCACGCTGCTTCCTACAGAGCTTCTCATTAACACACGTTTCAAAGAACACCACAAGTTCCCCACAGTACTTATTAAGAACAAGCAAAAGACTCCAGCATCTGAATTACATTTTTTTCTATTGATGAAAAGCACTCTGATAAAGTGATATGATCTATATATGTAAGTGAAGAGGCTGAGGATTGTTCTACTTGATGTAAGCATTAAAGCACACAAAAGCTTGGATGTGTAGTTACAAAAAGCAGTTTTCACCTCAATTTCTTGGGGATTTTGAGTCACTAAGGACTTATTTACATATCTTGGACAGCAGGCACTGTTGGAAGTAAAGTAGGAAGTAGGAAGAAGGAAGACTTTAACAAGACAAAGAAGAACAACAACTTCTGTATTTAATTTCGGTTTTAACTCGCATTTAACAATGTTTTATTCTTATTCTCACATAGTGGCATTTACAACAGTATTACAACACCAAAATGACAACTTTGTCTCCTGGCTGTTTTTCCAAAAGCCCTGTAAATGTGAATGAATGCTATGTGCCAGTGCTACCCATGCACAAAAATTCAGCTACAGCCAGAGCATGCTGCTTTAGAGCTGAATCAAGATGCTCAAAACTTAAACATTACCCTAGGCATTGCTAAAACCTGGCCTAAGAAACAAATTATTGCCATCTCTCTTGCTGTTAACTTATTTTTGCATTGCCTTTTCAGTTCCAAATTGTAAAAGTGAGAGTGCCAGTTGGTATGAAATGGAACTTTTGCTTCTGAAGAGGTTGCTCTTATTCCCTATTATTCATGTAAAGACATAATCCTGTATTTGTGACATCAAAACTTATTGCTGGGAAACTGATGCATTCAAAAACAGAAGACAAATGCAGTCAGGAAAAAAGAAGCAAGAAAGCTCGTTTTTGTTCTAGCATCCCACTAAAAATATAATTAAAAAAAAACCAAATAAAAATAAGAAAACTAAGCAAAAAAAAAAAAAAAAAAAAAAACAAAACACAAAAAAAACCCCAAAAAACTCATCCTAAACCAAAAAAAAAAAAAAAAAAAAAAACAAAATATGAAAAAACCCATATTTAAGTGCTGTTTAAAATTCATACAGTGAAGTGATGAACATTTTCTAATCTTCAGGAGTAGGATGTCCTGTGACAGCCCTCTCAGCACAATGCTCTAGCAGAGCCTCAGACACTCACCTTGACTTTCACAAGCCTCTTCACTGTCTTGATCTTTGCCTCACAAAAGGCACCTCGGTACTTGGCACTGACATCAGTCCCCACTGTCAGGTAGGCAGGCTCATCTGCTGCCTGCAGGGGAACAGAAACACAAAAACAAACTTCAGCTCTTACTTCAACTTACAGCTGCATCATCATGCATTTCATTTTACACCTATGCTTTTAGACCTGTTGAGTTTTTAATTGATAAATTCCCTGTCCTTGAGATTGCCATCACAGAGTTCTTCAAAAGGGAGAAAAACCAAACCCAACAAACAAGTTACAGGAAGTTTTGGTTTGTCACTGATGTTGACACACACCTCCTGTCAATTCATTGCTGGCCTCTCCCAGAAATGTTTTTGAGGATATTCACATTGATACTGAAGACATCTGCTTATAAAAAGGGCAACAAAGTAAAGGAGCAACTATTAACTCAAGTAGGTTCTACACAAAAAGGCAACAGACAGCTGTATTTTACCAGCTATAAGCAATCCAATGACACAGATTATTTAAAACGTTTGAGATTGGTGTCATCCCAACACTTACAATTAAGTCTATAACATTCTATATATAGGATTTCTTTCCTGGTGACTAAAAGGAGACCTCTAGAGAAATCTGTTGCAATCTTTCAAACAGCTATTAACAATTATTTTTCTTTCCTGGAATGCCTTTATTAAAACTTAATTGACAGTGCTTTTTTAAAGAGAAATATTCATCACGTTTTCCTTAACCTGAACTTTAATACTCAACATTTCACTTTACCGTGCTTATTGCAACCGATAAACAAGGACCAAATAACCACATTGAAAAGACAGGAAATGGGTGCAGAATCTAAAATAAAATGGAATATGCACGGGGTTTTTTTAATAACTTAATTATTTCATTCAACTCTGAAGGGAAAAGGAAAAGTTTTGTAAATTATACTGCAATTGTTGAGCCTTTGTACTGAGCAAACCGGCAACAGCAAAGGCGGGACAAAAGCTGTGGTTTTGCAAACTTGCCATAGCAGCTGCTGATACAGGAAGCGTTTAAAGACGGGAGCCCGAAGGACAACAACAACTCAGAGGCGATGAGGATGTTCCGAGCGCTCCTGCACGGCGGTGAGAGCTTTAAATCACCTGCACCTCGCCGGGGAGCAGGAACAGCACCCACAGCACGCAGCGAACCCCGCGTTCTCCCGCTGCTGCCGTGCCCAGACGGAGAGCGATTAAAAATGAAATCTCCAGAGCGCCGGGCGAACAGGGCGGCGATCCCCGCTCCCGCCGGAGCCGCCTACCTTCATCTTTCAGGGTTATGTGAGCGATTCCAGCTCCGGGACTTCTCCTCGCACGGGCAACACTGCAAAACAAGAGCGGGGGAGGCTGAGGGCTGAGCGCGGGGCTCCCCGCGAGGGGCAGCGGGGGGAGCCCGGGCAAGGCTCGGCGGAGGGAGGGAGGAACGGAGGGAAGGAGCCGCCGCCCGTCCCGGCCGCGCCGAGGGAGCGCGGCCGCCGCTTCCCGCCGGGCGGCCCCGCGCTCGGTGTGTGTCACGTCGCCATTTGCTCCGCGGGGCTCAGGGGCCGCCGCCCCCCACCCGCCCCGGCCCCCTCTCAACTTTCCGCGGCCCCGCCGGGCCCCCTCCTCCTCCTGGGACTTGTGCCTCCCGCCCCCCGGGGCAGCGCCGCAGCCCCCCGGCCCAGGGAGCGCGGGGGCCGAACCCGGGGATACCGGGACAGAGTTGGGGGGTCCCGGTCCCGGGGGTCCCGCTCTGTGAGGGGGGCGGCGCGCGCGCCCGTGCGCTCCCACAGGGCGGGGGAGGGGGGGCGGGGGGGGTTTTAAAGCGCAGCTCCCGGAGCCGCTTCGCGTCCCCTCCCCCGGGACGGCGGCGCGGCAGCCGCAACTCCGCCGCCGCCGCCGCCTCCTCTTCCTCCTTCTCTCCTTCCTCCTCCTCTCCCTCCTCCTCCTCGCGCGTCCCTTCCTACCTGCGAACTCCTCGTTCCGCAGCCCCCGCGCCGCCCGGGCCCCTCCGCAGACGGCGGCGGCCCCGGCTGAGCGCGGCCCCGGCTGAGCGCGGCCCCCGCTCCGCCCCCCCTCTCTCCCGCCCCCCTCCCCCCCCCCGCGCGTGCAGACCCGCCCCGCGCCGCAGCGCGAGCCCCAATAAACAAGCGGCGGGAGCGGGGCCGCTCCCATTGGCCGCCGCCCCGGCGCCCCGCGCGCATTGGGCCGCCGCGGACAGCACCCCCATTGGGTGGCGGCGTGGCCCCGGGAGCACGGGATTGGCCAGCGGCGGGGACCGGAAGGGGAACGGCGCGATGCGATTGGCTCGGGGCGGGACGGGCGGGAGGGAGGGGAAAGGACGGGGAGGGGGCGGGACGGCGGCCGTGGGGGCGGAGCCGGCGCGAGCGGCGCGCAGGCGCGGCGGCCGCGGCGTCGCAGGCGCCATTTTGTGCGCGACTCTTTCCCATTTTAGGCCGCGGGGAGAGGCAGGAGCGGGAGTGCCCGCGCGATCCGCGGAGGGAATGGCCGGGAAGCTCATCCTGAGCTCCGCTGAGGCGGCACCGCATCTCTTCCCGGCGGTATGACCCCCTCGCTGAGTCTCGGTAGCGGCCCCGCTTGCGGCGGCGATGGCGCAGGAGCGGGCCCGGCCGGAGCCGGAAGTGGAGCGGCCGCCATGGAGGCGCCGGGACCGCCCGCCGTGAGGGCGCGGAGCCGCCGGGGCGGCCCGAGCGCCCCGCAGAGACACGCCCGGGGTGCAGGTAGGAGCTGCCGGCCCGCGCCGCCTTCCCGCGGGGGAGGGCGCAGCTCCGCCGACCTTCAGCGGCCCCGTGACGCGTGTGGGGAGGGAACGCGCCCGGCTCCTGCTGCTCGAGCGCTTCCCCACGGTTCCCTGTGCAGGGATAGCGATGAGCAGTGGGGGGAGGCTGAGGGATTCTTCCGGGAGATGTGGGGGTGTTGTCGTGCCTGGGCCTGGAGTGCGGCCTCACGGGGCGGGACAGCCGCACCTGTCAGAGTCCTTTGCGGGGGTTTGCTCTTAGAAACGAGCTTTGACTTTATTAAGTAGGAGTTACCGGTTAAAGGCCATGATAAAACCAAATGTTTTATATTTAGTTTCACATTTTGACATATTATACAGAATTTTTTTTTGTGGCTTATGGCAATACAGATAGTTTTTATTTTATTTATAGTTTTGCCTAGTTCTTATTCTGGACTAACAGATCCGTAACTTTTATTCAAGAGTGATGAGCATCTGTTTGACAGTGCTCACTGTGAGCTAAAAGGTATCTATTAGGCTTACCTACAACAGTGGAGGACCATTGTGTTAATTGACAGAAATACAGAAATAGATTATTAATTTATGTATGGTTCCCATGTAAGATCTGCTTTAAAGGTGACTTTTGTATTTTTTTCTTTTTAATTAAATCTGATGCTTTAGAAATTGTCAAATAATGGGAGAGTTCTCTAGAGAGTTCAGTGAGCAGAGATGTGTGGTGCAGGTAAGCTCTGAAGGTTTAATAATGCACAAAGCACACAGGATTTGTTTGGAATTGACTGCAGGCAAGGCCTGACATGGAGGAAAGGTCTGGAATTCTGGTGTTTGGATCTGGGTTGTAAATACAAAGATGGCTGGAGATCTTTACAGAATGTGTAAAAGTTGAGGCATTTAGTGTTGAGGGAGCTTTGATTCTGTGCTGTCATTCTGTTTTATGCAGGGGATAAACTGGAGAGTGTCAGAGGGGAACCTAGAGGAGACCTGGAGAGGGACTTTGGACAAGGGCATGGAGTGACAGGATGGGGGAATGGCTTTGCACTGGCTGAGAGCAGACTGAGGAAGGAATTCCTGCCTGTGAGGGTGGGAGGCCCTGGCACAGGTGCCCAGAGCAGCTGGGGCTGCCCCTGGGTCCCTGGCAGTGCCCAAGGCCGGGTTGGATGGGGCTTGGAGCACTCTGGGATAGTGGAAGGTGTCCCTGCCATGGCAGGGGGATTGGAATTGGATGATGTTTTAATGTTCCTTCCAACCCAAACCATTCTCTGGTTCTGTGATTTAGAATATATATATATATATATCTATCCTAAATATTGACAAAACTTCCCAAATTCCATTTGAATGTGAACTTCTGATCTCTGTGGAATGTATTGGAGACAAATCCTGGCTTGGATTTTTTTGTGAGCTGTTCCTGAGGCATGGTTTGTATCTCTGTACTGGGTGTAGAACCATTCAATAAATAACAGTTTGTGGTTGAACTAATCAGTCTTGTTTCTGATTTCTAGCATAAAAATCCTGCCCCTGTGGATGTAGCAGTTAGAGCCAGCACAATTGGGAGGCTCATGGCACATCACCCACCAAGCTGCTGTGAGCAAAAGGACTTTATTTCTGTATAGCCAGTGAGCAGGAGAGGTGACTTGTTCTTTTATGGTATTTTAAGCACCTAAGGATGCCCAGTGGGCAGCTCAGCACAGCACAAATGTTCTCACACAGCTTAGGGATGATGTCTGGTGTCATGGAATGAGAACACTGTGCTTTTGGCAAGGCAGGAAAAAAGACTAATTTTGATTTCAATATTTTTTCATTAGAAAAGGAACTTCAGGACTCAAGAGTTACTGCATGGTACTGAAATTTTTCATCCTAAATGTCATTGTTAAACAGCTCTGAAACTCGAAACCATCCTGGCTGTGCTGGATTTTTGTGCCCCATCCCCCTGTGCAAACCCTTTCAGGGAAGCTGTGGGAATGAGTGGAAGAAATGAGCAGAGGAGGTGACTTTGAGCTTTTTTATCATGGCCTGGTGTGCTCACTGCACAAAGTTAACAGCTGAGAAGCTCTAGAGTGGGACAATCACAGTAAGTCCTTTTAGGATCTAATTTCTCTGTAAACAGACACTCTGTGAGGTAGAAACATTTCATTTTTTAGATCATTGTTCAAAGCAGCAGTGCTTGGTTATCTGTGTTAGTCCCAAAGGTCTTGTAGATGCAGCATGGGAGGTTTGCCTGGGGAAATGCATTTGAGTTTAGTTTGAACAAATTAAAGGCTTCTTCATTTAAAAACAATTAAAAGCATTAAGGCACTCTAAGCATGGCACTGGTCATTGGTCACATGGAATTCTGAGTGATGGCTGTAAATTAGTAAAAACAATACACTTAAGCACTTGGAAATGTGTTTGGTGCATTAGTTGCAGAGTAAACATAACCCAGAAATCTTGCCCAAGGTCTTCCACACATGTGGCAGTGGATAAGAAAAAGCAAATTTAGGAATGTCTGCATCTTACATTCTCTTTATAAGAACAGCAGAACAAGTCACTGCTGTGCCTTCCTTCAGGTCACAGATAAAGTAAGGAGATTTCTGGGATAAGTGAGATGGTTTTATTCTGTTCAGTAATCACATCCTGCTCTTGACACACTGGGGTTTTTTTGTAGCTAAAAGAGCTCAGAATACATGTACAATTGCAGCCAAAATACTGTAGGAATATTAAAAATATTAGATCTTCTTTTAACACTGAGCTTCTTCCTATGTAGTGAAGTACAGTGCTACTCTGTCAGACTTTGCAGTTCAGGAGACTTTTACCTTTTATTTCTGTTTCCATTGTTCTTTTTTAATGCTCTTTTCCTTGGTGTTTTTGTAGTTAAATAGACAGAGGATCTGCAGAAGTGTTGCCTATGTGGAACTGCAGTATTTCTGTGCAAAGTAAAGTCACTTACAGCTTCCCACAAAGCTTTATTGTCCAAATGACTGCAAACTGCTCAGAGGAGCATGGTAAGAAGTTGTGAAGTGCATGTATAAAGAGAAAAAATCCCAATAAATTTGAGGTTGACAGCAAAAAACTTCAGCCAGTAATAGCTGGATTATAAAAATGGAAGATCAGATGTTTCCTGGTCACAGAGAAAAATTAAACTATCAGCATTAACTTCCTCCATTTTTATAATGTGTGTGTGAGAGAGGGGAAAAAACCAAACCAACTTGAATGAAACCTGTTAAATGCTTACTTACATTTTCCCCAGCTCTGGGGCATTCCTGTCCTCAAGTTCAGAAAATGGACATTTAATTATTTAGACATTTAATTATTCAAACATAACTTCATGATGATTTAATCCTTGCCTTGGGAGGGTTCTCACTGGAGAAGACACAAATCCCTCA